CAAACATTTTATAACATATCAAACTATTTTTATTCATAAATATTTTATTCTTAGCTTACACAGTTTCACTTTTTTGCAACTGTTTTATTATTGCCAAAGAAAGAATGTACGAATAAAGAAATGGTCTCATCCATCTACTTTCATCTTGAGAAATTTTTTAAAAGTATATTTTGAAACTCAATCTAGGAAGTGAACTCACTCTCTCTTTCAGGCATCCTGAATAAAGAAAGAACAAAATCGTAGCCAAGTTGAGGGACTAAATATCATATGAAAATGATCAATTTCCTGCAAGAAGTTCAAACAAAATTGGGCAGAAACTTTAGAAAGACATTTTAAAAAGCCTTGTTAAAGAATAATTATTTGAAGATATTTTAGAAAACCCTGAAAAACTTATTTGTAATTTGTCAAGGATTAGCTTGAGTCGAACTGAAACTGAGGTAGTTTAACTAGGATCCTAATTTTATATTGTAAGAAAATACACTAACATAACTGATACAGAAACTGAGTTTGAAAACTTGTATCAACATCCGCTACCATATTTGTTTTTTCGTTACTCATTTTCATAAATGAAAAACGTTATATGAAATCTCAAATATCCACTGGTAATAATTTTCGCTGTAACTTGATCAAACAAAATAAAACAATGTTCTTATTTACATGTTTTCAGATGTTTCTATTGAAATATCTATTTGTACTGGGGGAAGAAATCATCTTTAAACACAAAGTATCTTATAGCTTTTATGTAAAATCTAGTTTTAATAACTATTATCTGAAATTAATTCAAATGACCATATAGGAAAAGCTAAGTTTACGTTGAATGTAAATTATTTATTTATTTGAACACATAAATAATTGTACGAAGGAGCACCGAATACATATGCGCCATACAAATAACTTGATTTGTGTTTGAGCTATAATACTTCTCGGGTGCCCAGATCGATGCAGGTGATTTTTCAAGAGGCCATGCCTGAAGCCTTCGACCTAAAGGTCTGATCCACAAGGCAGTGGAGAAACGTCAGGAGATGTAGTCCAATGGTAGGCGGTGATCGACGATTAGTCCATACGCCATTTGTTCCTTCAGGATACTGGAGACATGTGCACCATTGTTTTGGAGTCAGGGTTTTCCAACTTCCCTAGGTAGACTCTCCGTATCCATCAACCCAGTTAAAGAGCCGGACATTCGCTTTTCTTCCTCTCAATGTCGTAAACAAATCCGCACCACGAGAAGGCAGTGAGTAGAACTTCCCTGGCATTGGTTGTATACACGTGGTCATGTGAGAGCGTTTCCAGAGGAAGAGCTGACTCGTCCCACCCTCAGCCGTACCAGGGCATTTATAGAATGAATGAAATTAAAAATTGGATAAACTTAGATTTGATATCATTTTTATTTCACAGATTTTCATCATGTGCTTTTAATATATGCTTTCTTTTGAATGAAATTATAGTTGTTTATTTTAATTCCTGGTTATAAATATTCTGTTCTTATATTTGATTTAGGTGACAAAAATGTCTTTATTTTTTTTTGTCAAAAAAAGGATATTTCAAGAAATGAAACAAGTTTCCTGGTTGTCCTCCCTATTTTTATTAAATAAATGTTCAAATATAAGCAAATGATATCCTGTCAAATTTAACATACCTTACATAAAATTTGTCAAAACTAGTCCAATCGGAAATAAAGTTTATTTGTATAAATATATTTGAAACAAAATAGTAACCATGTATGTTATATCACTTTACAATTTACTTAGTAACAAAACTGAAAAAAATTATACTATCTTGTGAATCAAAATGACAATCAGTTAACCTTTTTAAACTTGGTTTATGAGTACATTTATTGGTTACTAACTGTAAGCAATAAATCACTTAATATAATGTAACGAATATTTTAATTGGTCGTTTGAATCTTACTGATAATGTTTAGAACTGTAATTGATCAGTCTCTTTTTTAGCATATGTGCATGTTGTGCAGATTGTCTCCATATTGTTAGTAAATCACAAGCATTTTAAGCAGAGATGGATGGTGACTATCAGTTGAATCCAAGAATTAAAATTAAAATTCACCCAACTGTACAAACCAGTAGCTATCTGAACTCAGTAGCTATGTAGATAATGCGATGGCCTTTGAATTGAATCGCACTGAGTTTGAGTCCCAAAGTGAATATTAACTCTGAAATGCAGGTAAATCCAGGTGACGAGTCCCAAATAAGACGAAACGTGAGTATGGAATTCTACTGATAGCCACGATCCATCAATGCTTAAAATGAATTTAACCAATAATTTCAGATTATGATTGACATAATTATTACAAATTTGAAACCAATCAAGAATTTCATCCACTCATATTATGAATATAATCGATCATGTTCGACAAAGTATTTTTGCATTTGCTTATTACTCATACCCTATTTCTCTCCTCAGTTTATCAACAGAGATAAAACAAATCGACTGACCAATAGAATTTGTTTTCGATGTTTAAGATCATGAGTCAGTTGAAGCTGGTCACTACTTCTCACTAGAACTCCAGGATATACCTCTTGAAGCTAGTCACTAGTGAGCATATGTTGATTAATATCAGATGGGTTTTGTGGATATTATAATTTCAATGGTTAAGATCATGAGTCAGTTGAAGCTAGGCCACCACGGAAAACTTAGAAGCACTGGACCGCCGTTTCGACCTATTGTGGGACTCCTCAGTAGTGCTCATTCAAATTTATTCTTCCTAATTAAAAACTATGACCGACTCGTTTTACTTTACTGTTATACATTCAATATCAAAATGTTAATTGTTTGTGATAATTTAAATTGATTTAAAGGATTTTTTTAGAAAAAAACATGTATTGATGAACATTAATGAGCAAATATATATCTAAGAATTATCAAGACCTTTATTTTCCATTGATTAGTGACTATATTTTGTTTTTTTAGACTAAAGACTAAATTTGCACCAAAGTTGTCGCCCTTGTAAATCAATCACGTAATATTTTATTACTTTTGTAATTAAAATCAGACATTTCCACCACATTTTTATTTTATAAAGTATATAACGGTATGAAATCACTACTATGTTATGTACCATTCTAAAGATAACCTAAGTATTTTTACCACCAAACTATTTGTACTGAATCATTTTAATATATTTTGCTTCTCTGTTAAAATATACATTAGGCGATTCAAAGTTTTTAAAATACTTAATTTAAGTATAGACCAACTATTTGAACAGAAGCTGTTGTATTAATATAAACCAATTTTCAGTAGATCAGACATACCTAATCTGTTCAATAAATTCACGACCTGAAGTTATGAGAAGCTTTTTCTTTAAGATGTAATGTGCGTCGTTCTTATTTTCTCCAATAAACCTCCCAATATTGAAATCTTACATGTTTGTTCTCCAGTTCCACTGGTCAAAACATTATTAGAAACCTACAAAAGTCAAGCTGATCAGCTAACTAGTTGTTTCACATTTCATCGGAATTGTGTAAACAGATAGTTTTCCTAGGTTTATGACATCGACAATCATCTGGACAGTTAATCGATGACTGGAAGAAATAAGATACTGTTCACATTCAATGGGTCTGTTAACATAAGAAATCAATGAATATCCTAATTTTATAATGTTCATAGCACTAACTAAAAAGCTTGACTGACTTAAAACAATGTTACTTTTATTGAATTAACCCCGATAAACAGACTTTAACTTTCCATAAATTTCCCGATTTTTTTAATTCTTGACAAATTAAAAACAATCAGGATAACATCTTTGCGTTTTCCTAGTTTGTTCCTGAATCTTTATTATTAATGTGAGTGGTAGTTAGTGAGAAAAAACTACAGAGGTTGAAGAGAATAATCAGTATGTCTAACTCAAAGACTAGGTATACGTCTGTCTCATTGTTAACCGTATGATAAAATATTAACTGATCATTCGTTATTTACATTAGGAACATTATTGAATAAAGCAATTTGTTATGTCCTGGTTGTTCTCATCGTTCTTTCGCACTGTCATTGTCTACAAGAGTAATTATTACTCCGGAACAGTTTGTTTTTTACTAATTGTGAAACATTTTTAGCAGAATTGCTTAAAATTGTATTAATTCTCCTCACTTTCATAATTCACACAATACAACCAAATTATTAAGTTTGGTGTCTTAAGACATTTATTTAAAGCTGTGCTGCACGTTCATTTTGTAGATCATAAAGATAAGAATAAACAATTTTTATTGTTTATCATTGAAATTGCTATCAAATCACATACCCCACCACAGCGTGATTTACAGACATAAATGAATCTCTGAAAAACATTATAAATTCTATAATTTATGCAATCAACCACTTTCAACTATGTATCAGTCCCCATTTATGCATGAACACTTTTTTTCAAATAACTCGTAGTTAATCGGCTAGGAATTAGCTTCTTAACATTTTTGAGCCAAGTGGCTGTAATAACTCCCTTAATAGTTAGGGGGAATTTGAAAATTTCTAAAATAAACTCAGGCATAACGTAAGCATAACATTCATGGATGAAATGTATTGCCTAAATGATTATTCATCCAAAGGCTGAGTTCATCATTGAAATGTAAGTATGGTGTATCCGATTGGATAAGAAAAGCTTCATGATAAAACTACAAGCAAAAACTAATATTTGGATTTATTTTAATGAAAATATAGAAAATATCATGGATGAGATATCTATATTCCATACCATTTTCACTAAACAATTATTTAATATGTCTATGAAATGTTTCCAAAAAAGAAGCACATTCAATGGTTTAATTCTTTCTCATTTTGTATTAATCCTACATCATTAGATACTACTACATATATATGTGTATGGGCACACAAACACACTTTCGACAAAAGATGAGTCATTTAAATACTGTGTATAAACGTGTTGTTTTCTTTTTCACATTTTACACCATATTACATATTTTTTTCTGTTTCTTTAGTATAGTTTGTTTATTTATTTCTATATCATTGATTTTATTTACCCTTTGTTTTATCTACAGTACACTACCTATCAGATAATTTTTACGTATAATCCACTATCATTTAATGGTAATTCAAAAGAAGTGGAATTCTCCATCCCATGGAATGATGATTATTGGCATTTGGGAATATTAATTAAACCAGATCAAGTTAGTTTACGTCAAATTTAGTTGTGTGTTCAACTTGTTTGGCATATATATCAGTAAAAATTAATGCTGTTTATTTTATTTATAATATTCGAAATTTGTTTATTGCTATTATTAATTGTCTATTTTATTATTGTATTATGAAACAAAATTCAAGTTATAAACAATTCCAACGAATCATTCAGAATTAAATGATGAAACAAGAGTTATGTATGATAAAGTTGTAAACTTTTAAACGTAAAGAGCATTATAATGTTGAAATTCTAACTGGAATATTTGATGTTATTTTCTATATTTCAAGTTGGTCTGTGTTTAAGTCAAATTAAACTTAAACAGAAAATCATTTCGAGTAAAACTGAAATGTGCAACACAAACTAGTTAATATTATGAATTAAAGGGAAACACAGATGAATCTGTAGTTTATTCATATGAAGTAATATATGACCTGTAGAAATAACTATAGAATACAATTAATCATAAAGACTTTATAAAGAAATCAACAGAACACCATATCTGTGTTAAAGAATACGTTTGTTTATTTGTTTGTTTTTATTTTAACAATAACTCTGTTTTCTTATGTAAGTCATGAAGTTCTTGTTAAATTTTGAAAAAAATATGTTTCTTTGAATCAAAATTTACTGACTAATACTGGACAGAAGGACTTCTGATCAAAATACCGAAGAAAGGCGATCTCAGCAACTGTGATAACTACAGGAGCATCACTCTTCTCTCAATACCGGGAAACGTCTTCAACAGGGTATTGTTTAACAGGATAAAGGACTGCGTAGACGCCCAAATTCGTGACCAACAGGTAGGATTCTGTAAGGAAAGATCGTGTACAGACCAAATCGCAACTCTACGGATCATTGTGGAACAATCAATTGAATGGAATTCATCACTCTACATCAACTTCATTGACTACGAAAAGGCATTTGATAGCGTGGACAGAACAACACTATGGAAACTTCTTCGATACTACGGCGTGCCTCAGAAGATAGTCAACATCATACAGAGTTCATATGATGGATTACACTGCAAAATTGTGCATGGAGGACAGTTGACAGAGTCGTTCGGAGTGAAGACCGGTGTCAGGCAAGGTTGCTTACTCTCACCCTTTCTCTTTATCATGGCGATCGACTGGATCATGAAGACGTCAACGTCTGAAGGGAAGCGCGGGATACAATGGACATCTAAGATGCAGTTGGACGATCTGGACTTCGCAGATGATCTGGCCCTTCTATCCCAAATGCAACAACAGATGCAGGAGAAGTTGACCAGTGTGGCAGCAGCCTCAGCAGCAGTAGGTCTCAATATACACAAAGGGAAAAGCAAGATTCTCCGATACAACACAGAATGCACCAATCCAATCACAATTGACGGAGAAGATTTGGAAGATGTAAAAACCTTTACGTATTTGGGCAGCATCATTGATGAACACGGTGGACCTGATGCAGATGTGAAAGCGCGGATCGGAAAAGCAAGAGCAGCATATTTACAACTGAAGAACATCTGAACTCAAAGCAACTGTCAACCAACACCAAATTCAGAATTTTCAGCACAAATGTCAAGACAGTTCCATTGTATGGGGCAGAAACCTGGAGAACTACGAAAGCCATCATCCAGAAAATACATGTGTTTATTAACAGTTGTCTACGCAAAATACTTCGGATCCATTGGCCGGACACTACTAGCAACAACGTACTGTGGGAGAGAACAAACCAGATCCCAGTGGATGAAGAAATCAGGAAGAAGCACTGGAAGTGGATAGGACACACATTGAGGAAAGCACCCAACTGCGTCACAAGACAAGCCTTCACATGGAATCCTCAAGGCCAAAGGAAAAGAGGAAGATCAAAGAACACATTACGTCGAGAAATGGAAATAGGCATGATAAAAATGAACAAGAATTGGATGGAACTAGAAAAGAAGGCCCAGGACAGAGTGGGTTGCGGAATGCTGGTCGGCGGCCTATGCTCCATTGGGAGTAACAGGCGTAAGTGAAGTGAAGTGAACATTTTAACGTTTTGCGTACTTTAGCTGTGAAAATTGTTTCTAACTACAAATAAATGTTTCATGTCATTGTAAACTACAATCTCTTTTAGATGGGTACAAAAATGTCATTTTTAAAGGTGAAACACAATGATGAATTTACTATAGTTATAAAAGACCTGCTTCAAACTACTGCAAATTATAAAGTCATAATTACAGATTATTATGTTTTGTAATTAGAAATATTTACAACATCGTCACTGATATTGAATTAAATCCAGCTGATGAGTCCTTGATAAAAGAAACACTAGTCGTGAATTCAGTTGGTAGTCACAATTCAAAATATCTCATCAATACTACACTTTAAAAAAAACATGATTTAAGCTCATTATTATGAACAGTCTTTATAAGAGAAGTGAGCCAAATCATAGATTCGTGATTACCTAGGATCAATGAATCCAGTATAACTACATAATAATTCATTGTACATTATGTGCATACAAAAGATTCTAATTTCAAAAGATTGTTTTCATCTTGTCAATGATATTGAGTTTTACTTTTGCTTTGATGAAGTATCGTGTTGATGAGTTGATGGAATACTTGATAGAGATTATTTGTAGCTCAGTTGGGTGGTTTCGATGAAGTTTCGTCCTCCAATCTAGATGGTTTAAATGTGAAGCTTTTATTGTTTTTCCAGAAAACATCATCAGTATAAACTTCAGCTCCAAGAACAAAACTTCATAAAAACTTGATAGGTTCATTGAGATAGTTAATCGAGAATTCATTATCGGCTGACTTAAAGACATTGCAGGTGGAACGACTGGTATAGCTGGCTTTACATTAACAAAAAATATAATACGATTGTATTTATGATTGATACAGTGGACAAATCAAAATTCGTCAAATAAAATGCCTGTGTTATACTAATCAAAAAACCTCCTAATAACAAGTACATGTTATTGGCTAAGAAATGATTTCATTTTCTATGGAGTAGACGTAAATAAGTGCTTATGTAATTGATTCGGTCAAGTCCAGTAAACTCCCTTCTTCATTCTTGGTCTTCTTACTCGATAGCTGGTTGAGGGTGTACGTATAGGAAGTTTGTGTATCAGCATCAGTTCTGTACACCGCTTGTTATATAAATGACATTAAGGAAAAATTGTCCCTTATTAATTATTGCAAATCAATATACCGTTTTCACTGCGACACAAACATATCAATTAAAATTTTGTTAACTATTTACAGGGTTCGTTGTTCAACTCAAATAAACTTTTACTCTACAGGGACCATGTTTTAAATGAATCGTTTTGTTGCCAATATTCTTAAAACAGGTGTTCGTTTCAAACTTGTTCACTTGTATACATTTTATTACTGTTCTTGACAAAACACTAACAGTTCAGATTGAAAAATTTGTTTGGTATAGACAACTTATTTAGTTATTTTTCATGTTCTAATTCAGTAACAGCACAGAAAATGCACACAAAAAGACTTAAATGCTTACCATATAAAATGAAAACTGAGGAAACAGATTACTTTTCAAACAAGCATAAGTTTGGAGGTAGGTTTTTATAAAGCAATCAACCTATTAGATAAACTAAATCAAAAGTCATGAAATATTTTATACAGTGATTTGTAAACATTAATATTACTGGCCTGTAAATTCGAACAGATTACAGCTGGAGGTAATCGTCACTTAAATCAATTTATTTATCTGTGGTTTCTAGTATTATGATTGTGTACATGGTAATGTTTTTTATCGATTAGTAATTAATTTTAACTTTATTTTCATTGCATTTCTTTTCTTTTCGTTTCTTCTTGTACACACATCCATCCCATTAAAGATTGACTTCTATACATCATGTGAAGAAACTCAAAGGATCGCTTATCATTTCTATCCAATTCAAGGTTTACTAGGTGAACCATTATTCCGTAAAGGTGCAACATTTTATGCACTTAATAGTGGCTTAAAGAATGCATCTGAATATTTTGAGGTAAATCCCCCAAATCATTATAGTTTTTGTTTAATTTCCTTTATTTATTTGTGTTTTTACTTCAAATTTTAATTTACTACGCAACAATTTCTTCACTTGTAGGCAATAGAAACAAATCTTCCTTTTTAAAAGAGTGTAGGTTTTGTAATTATAATTATAGGTAATTATGGGTAAATAAATATGGAAGCCACATGTATAACTGATTGTGTTGTACTAGTCTAACGAGGAATTCAGACTTATGCTATTGTTTTAGAGGGTAACTAACAAAGAAAGCGAAACACTAACATCAATAATGACTCTTATTTAATATTTCCTTATCAAAACTAGAGCTCTTTTAGAGTGTATCGTAGTCTAGACTTTTAAATCTAGAAAAAACAATAAACACTACTTTAAATCAAATGTACGACCTGACTATCTCAATCACTTTAAGATCTAAATTAAGATAGTATACGGACATGTTTTTATAAGTGAACTTTTAATCGTAAGTCAAAATTCATGGGAAATAGGTCACAAAATTTATTATAAAGTGCATTTTATTATATTATACACCATGAGTATTTTTCAAGGTAAGTTCCGAAGTATAAACAAACCGTTACACAACCACTAATTTATTGTCCATTTGAATTTGAAAAGGATACATTTGAAAACAAAATAAACTTGTTCTGTAACCGAACTTAATTAAATAACTAAACATTTACATGTTGCGGCTAATAATTACAATACATTAAATAACTATTCACTTAACTATGATTGTATGATGTTAACTTTAAAATGGACATTTGTTTATTTCCGACAACCTTTTATGAAACGGTGCATCATGTAAAAGTCAAGTTACAGTCATATCCACAAAATGAGGTTTGATTAGTAGATTTATACAGTAAATGTAGTAAATATTTGTAATTGTACTTATCAGTGCAACTATACTGGATAGAACTTAACTTATTATTGAAAATCTATATTAGCAAATCAATAATTAGATATAAGCGACTTTATTTTCAACAATCGCAACATAATATTTGTTGCATTAATATTGTTAAAAAAGGTAGTCATATGTTTATATGATATGTGATTAATATATAACTTGTTCAAAGTATATACATTAATTAACTGTTGTTTATTCTCATTTAATCATCAATTTGGTAATTGTTGTGTTTTCTCTTACAGGGTTATTTAAAAGCTTTCAGTTTTCATTCAGATGAAAATGCTCTCCGATATATGTGTACCAAATCGGAAGTAAGGTTTTTTTGTTTGTTTTTCCTCTTCATAAATATTTACTAGTTCTAGAGAGAATAATAAGTTTACGGTTACATTTTGCTGTCAGAATATTGTCTGTATATGATATTTTTAGCTTTATAATTTATGCTCTATTTAAGCTAAATGCAATTTACTGAGTAATTGTTTCATTGTAATATAATGAGTCAATTAATTGTCTATCAGAGATACTACACGAATAATTTCAATGCTTATTATTAGTAAAATATGAGACTGATATAATTTGCTTTAATGCATAAATTGGTTACTTTGTTCACATTAGGGAAAAATATCACATTAGACTTGTATGGTTACAACTTCCTTCAAAGAATAAATAAACTATGACTCTACAGATAGTTTTGTTAGTAGGAATTTCAAATCCTAAAGTGTAACAAAATTTCAGGTACACAACAGTATAATACAACACTTTCGTTTGAAAACATAGTAATGTAACCTAACATATACCAATATGTATCGTTGCTAAGATGTTTCATTTAATGTAAAACTCACTATGAGTAATATTTTAAGTAAATTCACTGCATCAATACAACTTGAATAAAGAATATTTTAGAGCTGTAATTTGTTTAACTTCAAATTTCAAATCAAACACTTCTTTAACAAGATGAGTGAAGTGAGTACCGAACTAAACAATGGTGGTTTCTATTATGTGTAAATAGCTTCAATATTACTACATATAGGATATAAGTACAATTTTAGATTTTCCAGTTTAATCATAAGGAAATCAAAGATAATAAAATTGTATTCTGACACATAAATAATACATGTAATTATATAATACGAAAACCAATACGTTGTTTATATGATTCATATTGAATTATATTTAGATTGTGAGTAGCAGTGGAATCTTTTACTCGTGTCTCGTTCTATTTAGGATTTATAATCTGAATGTACCTGAATCTTAGTTCCAATGTTATTAGGACTTCAGTCTAGTATCAAATTCAAATGTCAACAGTTAATTTAATAAGTTACTGATTCCAGGCAGCTACTAATCTATCTAATGGGTATAAGATCATTTATAAGACTTGTATTCAACCGGCATTACTACTCAAGAAATCATAGAAATCTATGTTCGATTATGCTAACATATTACATGTTTCAGTATGCTTGTCATATTTATGGGAATTATTTAATTCCCATACCAAGAATCTTGATGAAACGGCTTACCTTATATTTTCACTACGTAAGAAGAAACTAATTGTCATCATATATTTCTTCTGAATTATAAACCTTTTGCACTATAAATATTACGTACATGATGTAGTCATATTCAAAGTATTATAGTTTGATGCATGAAAGTTATATAGTTAACTGATCAATAAGGTTTGGAACATAGAAATTCACAGACCTAAAGATTTTTTTCAACAACCTAGTGAAAAGGGTTAACTTCATTTTAATGTAATTTTTATGAAGTATAATTATGAAAAACTGTAAGAAATTTATGTACACAATATTGCATATGAGTATATATGAAAACGATAGGAAATGAGGACCCGTCAATTAACTTGAAAATGAAGCACTGAATAGTAAGTAGGTAACTTTAGAACAAAAACGTGAGTTCCCTTAAAGGTGAAGATACATTAAATTCTATATATGTATCCAGGTTAATTTACGATAAATCCCCTAATTAATGCGAGATTCTGTTACTTAAGCTCTTTTAGTAACTTCCAGGTTAAATCTTTACAGCAACCTGAACACAAGCGAAAAGGCACAAAATATGGAAAGAATGCTTTACTCCAAGGTTCATTTATGTACAGAAAATTTAAGGTATTTATAGCATTTTAGACGGCTTTGTGCTTCTGAAAATTTCTGGAACACCACTAAATATAGTAGCAGCATAGGTGATATGTGACTTTTCACTTTCTAGATGTTTCTGGTAAGGCCTCTGTTGAATGCTAATTGGATAAGATGTTTCTCAGCGTTTTCAGGGCCCTTTTTGGATTCTTTCAAAGAATTTTCCGAGTCTCCCCAACAATTTAGTTATTAATTCGTAACATTAAATAAAATCATTGAAGTCCTAAAATTTATTTACTCAGTTCTTACCTTTCACTGATTTGAAAAGAGCATTGACTTTGTGGCATATCTTGCGTAAATTAATAAAAACACTAAATTTACAATTATCATGTTTTATTTTTTTGATTACATTGTCACCTGTCGGAAAGTACTATCATAAACTAACCACATGCCACTGAAATATAAAGAACTACACTGAACAATCAGCTTGTACGTAATTGTAAAATGTCGGAAATTCGAAATTCTATTCATAAGAACATTACTAACATACTATTATCTTATTATTAGAAACAATTACTATTTATTTAGGAGTTTATGAGACATATTTATACTGTGGTGGTCGGTATCCGATATAATCCTTAACTTCGTATACAATTCGTCTTGCTAACCGTTCTGTATAACGCCCCAACGGTATAATAATCAGAAGGCAAATACGAAGTGTTGATTACGTTTATTGCGAGACCACACACATATATCCAAATGTACAAATGCGTTAAATAAGCATAGAAGAGTTGTGCCGAAAGGCAAGCAAGCGAGCGAGGGCCAGAGCAAGAGCGTGATGAGAGCGTGTGAGCGAATGAGTAAGTGAGTGAGTGTTCAATATGAATAACATGGACATATATATACCATGTGAAATGAATGAGTAATCGAATCGAATAAGCGGTTAGTAGTAAGACTAGCAGAGTGAATAAATGCGTAGGCAGTAATCAATATTCAAGCATACGTATTTCATACAAGCACAAAAAATAATAAGGGTACAATAAATTGTTATAGTGCGGATGGCTTTGTCCGCTAAATAAGTTAGCAAAAGGGCTTAACTGAGTTAAATGAGAATAAACCCATTTGCACGTGAGTCGCTATAATAGCTCCCCCCTGCAAACAAAGATATATGGAAAATGTCTGTGTTTGCACACAAAAAATAGTAGACTGAATAGAGTAGTATTGTTTAAAAATGGCTTATACAAAATTAAGATGAAGTTAGTGTGTGCTGTACATTTGGTTTGTGCCCGTCCGTGAGGTTACATAAAATAATAGCAAGAAATAGAAGGAATGAGGTATTGTCTTTACATTTTAAACAAAAATTATACGCATAAGTGTAAGGGTACATAAGATACGTTGAGTTTTATAGCGTATAACACGAGCTTAATAATGCATGTGTATACAATGAGGTAGAAGTTATAATTAATATTTAAAATAGTAGATCATTAATAAAAAATCGTAGCAACATATTGTTGGGGCCATCTTACTCTGCGGCCGGATCTTGTTGTTATCTGAGTCTTGTCTTTTTGTTGCGTTAACGTCGTTGATTTTTGGGACTCGTGTTTCGCTGGTGTGACCATCTTAGATGAGTCTGTACTTGTTGATTGATTATCGCTATCGATGAAAGCTGGCTTTACTCGATCGATGCTAATTACATCTGTCTTCCCAGCTTTTTCTATGGTAACCGTTTTATTTGTCCTCTCTATCACTTTAAATGGGCCGTCGTAACTCGGTTGAAGAGGTGGTTGTACTTTATCTCTTCTAATGAATACGTGAGTGCTGCTATGTAGTTCCTGTGGTATGAATACTCGTCGTTGTTGTGGTCTGGGAGGTGTTATTTTTAAATCGCTCATGTGCTTTCTCAGGCGTTGCACATAGCCGGTTACATCAGTCGGGACACTTTTACTTGGAGTGAAAAATTCTCCGGGTAACCGTAGAGTAGTTCCGTAAACTAACTCGGCTGGACAACATCCCATGTCTTGTTTAATTGTTGCTCTTAGAGCTAACATTACTAGGGAAGTTTATTAGACCAATCGTTGTTAACGATGACGGCTGTAAGGGACGCTTTTAATTGCCTATGTAGGCGTTCGACCATTCCGTTTGCCATTGGATGGTACGATGTCGTTCGGATTCGTTTAATACCGAGGAGTTCTGTAAGCTGCTGAAAGAGTCGACTTTCGAATTGTGCTCCTCTATCAGTTGTGATAATCGTTGGTACACCGTAGTAAGAAATCCAATTTTCAACTAGGGTTTTAGCTACCGTTTCAGCTGAGGTGTCTTTTATCGGTACTGCTACCGGCCATCGTGTAAACCTGTCGATGCATGTAAAGATATAGTTGTATCCATTTGAAACGGGCAGTGGTCCTACAATATCGATGTGTATATGTTCAAATCTAGTGTCTGGGTGCGAAAACGGACCTACTGCCGAGCTAGTATGACGATGTACCTTAACTTTTTGGCACTTCATGCATGCCTGTGTCCAATTACGTACATCGTGATTCATGTTTGTCCATACGAATCGTTCACTAATCAGCTTTATCGTGGCTTTTATTCCTGGGTGTGACATGTTGTGCATGCTTTCGAATATTTTGTGTCGCAACGTTTTCGGGATAAATGGTCGCGGTCGGCCTGTTGATGTATCGCAAATTACTTTCGTGTTACCAAACCGCACCTCTTCGAGTACTAATGATGTTGAACCACCGGATCTGAGTTTATTTAACTCGATGTCTCTCTCCTGCAACTTTGCTAGACCGTTATAATCAATTCCACTTGCCATAAGTGTGCTTATCGTTGCTCGTGACAATGCGTCGGCCACATCGTTTTCTTGTCCTTTAACGTACTGTATGTCGGACGTGAACTGTGAAATGAACTCCAGTTGTCGGATCTCTCTCGGAGAATAATTGTCTTGCTTTGCACTTAACGCTTTCGTTAGTGGTTTATGGTCTGTATAGACGGTAAAATTTATGCCTTCGACCATATGACGGAAGTGTTTTATTGCTAAGTAGATTGCTAATAATTCTCTTCCAAACGTACTATATCTCGTTTGGGTAGGATTTAATCTTTTCGAGAAAAATGAAAGTGGCTCCCATGCACCGTTTACTAACTGCTGCAAAACGGCTCCTACTGCTAAGTTCGATGCGTCTGTCATGACGGCTAATGGTGCTTCGTTCTTTCGTCGTACTAACATCATCTTCTCGTTTAGCGCTCGCTTAGCGTTCTCAAAAGCCTGTATAGCATCCGCTGAAAGACGGAATGTTCGAGTATGTCCTCGCAAGGCGTCCGTCAATGGCTGTAATATTGCTGCGCAGTTTGGGATAAATCGTCTATAATAGTTTATTAGCCCCAAGAATCGTCGTAATTTTCTTTGTGAATCGGGCAACGGATAATTACGAATAGCAGCAACTTCTGTCGGAACTGGCATGATACCATGTGAATTTATCATATGACCTAGGAATTGCAATGATTCCTTTCCAAATTCACACTTTTCCACGTTAATAGTGACGCCATGTTCTTGAAGTTTCGTAAACAACTGTCGTAGATGTTGTAGATGTTCTTCCCTGGTAGCGCTAGCTACTAGTATATCATCGATATATGCGTGAACTCCTGTCAAACCCCTGACGACCTGATCGATGAATCTTTGGAAGGTTTGGGCTGCATTAGTTAATCCGAAGGGCATTCGCAAAAACTCGAATAACCCAAATGGAGTAGTTATAGCCGTTTTAGATATATCTTCTGCCGCTACGGGAATATGGTAATAAGCTCGGACGAGATCGATTTTCGAAAATATCGTGGCACCTTCCATATTGGTAGTAATGTCGTGGATATGTGGTATCGGATATCTGTCTGCTATCGTTTGCTTGTTAAGGGCTCTATAGTCTCCGCATGGCCTGATTTCCCCATTCTTCTTCGAAACCATATGCAATGGGGACGCCCAGGGACTATTAGAAGGTCTTATGATACCAAGCTTCGTCAACTTTTCGAACTCTCGTTTCGCGACATTCAACCTTTTCGGGTCTAGCCTTCGTGGTCTTGATTTAGTCGGTGGACCTTTCGTTATAATATGGTGCTGTACCGTATGTTTAAGATCTCTGTTATCGTATGATACCTTCGTCAGATCGGCATACTCGTTTAGAAGCGATCTATATGGCTCGCTTTTGTCTTTTGACACTACTAAATTCATGGATGTGTGATCAGTCGTCACTCCTCTTATCACTACTGAATGGTCGCCGTTCACGAGCCGGTTTCGTCGGGTATCCACTAGTAAGTCGAAATTCTTTAAGAAATCAATACCAATTATAGGTACGGATACATCTGCGATAATGAATTCCCAGCGGAATGAGGTAGTACGACCAAAATTCAGGGTTACTTTTCGCTTGCCATATGTTTTTATATCGGATTTATTTGCTGCCTTAAGCGTTAGCGCTGTATCGATATTTCGTGTTTCGTTACTTACTGGAGGCACGACGCTTACTTCTGCTCCCGTATCGACTAAGAATTGAGCGCCTGTTACTCTATCCTGCACGTAAAATAAACGACTGTTTCTAGGAGCTGTTGTAGTTGTTGCGGCGGTTATCGACAATCGGTGTGGTCGTTTGAACTTACATGGTGGTCTACAGTTTCGAGCTTTATCGCCGAAAGTTTGATGGTACCAACATATTGTAGGAGCTGAGCGTCTCCTAGAACGTGATCGACTTCTTTCCCTCAATCTACTTTGTGACCATCCTCTTTGCGTATCGCTCTGATTTAGTTTCGTCAGTTTGTGGCATAAAACATTAATCTCCTTTTGTAATGCATCGATTCGTCCATCTACTGTGGTACTATGCCTTTGCGGACTCGTTTGTTTCATTCTCTCATAAATCCTATCGGCTATTTTAGCAATGTTGTCTATATCGACATCGCTGTCCTCAACCGCAAGGATCTGCTGCACGTTCGCTGGAAGTCGTCGTAACCACAACTGATAAAATATGTTTTTATCTACTTTTCTGTCATCGATTATGCTTCTCATATAGTTTTTTAGTTGAGATGGAGTCCTATCTCCTATCTGCACTTGACTGAGAAGTTGTTCGATGGCTTGCCGGTCGCTTAATGAGACGGCTTTAATCACTGCCTGTTTTAATGCGTCGTATGGCTTTTCTATGTCTGGCTTGATTAAAATCTCTCGTACATTATCTGCTACTTCATCTGGAAGTAGCGAGCTCGCGTGGCCAAATTTATCTCGCTGTGTATGAACACGATTAGCTACAAAGTAATGTTCAAGTCTGATAAACCAAAGTTGAGGATCTGTGACCTTAAAAGGAGGAATAGTTACATTAATGGACCTCACGGACGGCGTTTGGGAAAGTTCTATTGTATCGTTACTTAAAGACATATTTATAAAGATCAAAAATTACACAAATATAATGCGAATGTCACAGAGAAAAGTGAGTCGATAAAAACAATGATAAAAACAAATGGTACAATTTATAACAAAGAACGGACTTACTAAATTGCACCAAAATATCAATTGTTTGTAAAATATCGTTGTTTATTATGAATATTATCGTTATGTTCAATAATGTTTGTGAGATAATGTACGTGTAATTAAAATAATGAGATAATAAATCCACAGTTATAATTATAATCCAAATGATAGTTACAATTGTAATCGAGTACGTTAGATTTTAGGAATTGGGTTATGTCGTTGAAGATTGTTTCGTGTTCGCGCGTCGGGATCGCCAATTATGTGGTGGTCGGTATTCGATATAATCCTTAAACTTCGTATACAATTCGTCTTGCTAACCGTTCTGTATAACGCCCCAACGGTATAATAATCAGAAGGCAAATACGAAGTGTTGATTACGTTTATTGCGAGACCACACACATATATCCAAATGTACAAATGCGTTAAACAAGCATAGAAGAGTTGTGCCGAAAGGCAAGCAAGCGAGCGAGGGCCAGAGCAAGAGCGTGATGAGAGCGTGTGAGCGAATGAGTAAGTGAGTGAGTGTTCAATATGAATAACATGGACATATATATACCATGTGAAATGAATGGGTAATCGAATCGAATAAGCGGTTAGTAGTAAGACTAGCAGAGTGAATAAATGCGTAGGCAGTAATCAATATTCAAGCATACGTATTTCATGCAAGCACAATATAATAATAAGGGTACAATAAATTGTTATAGTACGGATGGCTTTGTCCGCTAAATAAGTTAGCAAAAGGGCTTAACTGAGTTAAATGAGAATAAACCCATTTGCACGTGAGTCGCTATAATACAACAAAGAATGTGCACCTCACTCAATTAGAGTGAAACTGCTTATGAAATATTAAAAGAATTTTATATTATTTTTATTATTCTACATAACTAAATAATTAATTGGGAAAATTTTAATATTGGTTAGTATTGGTTATCAAATTTAAATCATCATTTCACCATCTATTTTAGAATTATGAAGGAAGTGGTGATGCAGATCGTTTTAAATATGATCCCGAATTCGGAAATATATTAATTGTAAGTTCTCAAGGGAGCATATTTTTTGGTAAATTCATAAAGTGTATGCTGTATATATGTCGTAACATTATTGGGTGTGGCACTTTTAATGTCATAAGAAGATGAATTTCCAGCTAATTTCAACTCAGAAAAAATATGATCTTTAAACTTAACAAATCTTTACATACTATGAAATAAATAATTAACATCTTGCATTTACTAAGGGATTTACATTCGTTAGAACAATACAGAGATATTTACTAAAAACTACATTGTCAAAATTAATCTTATCACAGTTAAATATACAACCTTAATTATCGATCAACAACTGCTACGTTTATCCGTTTTTTGAATACAAGTCATGCAAGTATTAAGATGACATTATTTGTAATAAATTTATTAAACACAATTAACCTTATCCATTACATGTCCATTAAGTGTAGCCTACTAACTATATATATATATATATATATATATATATATATATATATATATATATATTTGTATACAGCGACTGAACTAGATGGAAACGGTAGTTATACGTGACCGGAAATATGTATTCCTAATCAATAATGTAAGGCGATTGACAGCATTTTGACGAATACAAATTATCACTTGTAAGCTAGTTAGTTATGTTGTCAAATTTTTTTCTCCAATCCTACTACTTATTAGAACCATTTGCAAACGATACACATCGTAATCAATGTAACATTGACACATGAATTCATGGAAGGAAAAACACGAAGGTTTTTTTCAGACTATATAATTTTTGAGTGCCTTTTCAATAGGATGACATGGCCAATAATAACTGATTACGATTAAATGAATTATAGTAGTTTAACTAATAAGAATAGCTTAAACAACAAAAGGATAACTGAATCAGTGGCTTAGCTTCGTTAATCAATCACCTTGGTAACCGTTAGCATATAAATCCCCAACGGTATTTGAATTCAGAAGGCGATAAGAAGTGGCGACTACGGCTTATTAGCAGATAGAACAAATAACAAAGTTACAAGCGCATCGAGCGAATTGGAGTAGAGAGGCCAATGTCTATGCGAGTGAATACACAGGCCAATTTATAATTAAATCGAATCAAGGTGCAGTGAGGCAAGGCAATTAGTAAGATTCAAGCATACACGTTGACAAAGAAATAGACAAATTGTTAATGTTCGAATAACACTGTCTGTTAAATAAGTCAATAAAAGGTTTCGACAAAGTTAACCGTAAACAAAAGTGATTGTAAGAGAGTTGCTATAAGTCGAAGAGAAAAGCAAAGTAAGGGATCCGATTCAATATCTTGGATTCCTCAATGAATCCTCATTGTAAAGATAACATAAATAAAGTAAATTGACTTTGTATTGTGCCACTGTCTCTCCTAACTTAAATAAAAAGTCATTCATTCAAAGAATGTAATATTTTACAGTAAAGTCATATCACAAAAATAAACTTCAAAATCTATCCAACTAAGTCAACTGATTTCAAAGAGGAAATATTTACCAAATAAATCATTAAAAAAGGTAAATAATTTCAACTGAATGTTTACAGAAAATGAATCAGAGCCATTTATAAAGTATTGATCATCTTCAATTAAATATAAAATTTTCTCTAGTCATTACAAATTGAATGATAGCAACAACAAAATTTTTATCAGTGAACACTTAACTACTGAAGAGTTTGAGAGTTAATGTTTCACTTCAAAAATCACTTATTCATTATCTTAAAGCCAGTTAATATAAATTAATTAATGAATAAATTAGTGATCCCTTCAGATAATTCTTTTTTAATTATACTATTATCCTACTCATTACAAATTATAACAACTGACTTTGTTTAATTATGTCAAATGAACCAAATGGCCAACAACAACAAATTATTATTACTATTTTATATTAAGACTATTTTTAATTTGATAATTGAATTAATTCTAGTTACAATTTATTGTTATTTCCGATTTAAAAATAAACTTCAATAATTAATTACTTGCTCCAAAAATAATTAACAAATCACATTGATATAGACATATATATATTTGCTTACATCTATTAAGGTAAATATCTGAGATGGTGAAGAAGATTTGTAGCTCAGGTGGATGATTTTTTTGGTGGAGTTTTGTTCTCGTTACAAAGATTTTACAGTGGTAAATTTGACAAATATTAGAAATACCAACAATAAATATTAGATATACACCTTAAAGAAATGAAAAGGTTAAATTATTGAATTTCTTCTATGTAAATTAATTTTGATTCTATAGTTTAGAAATTACACTGAGGAATATATAACCATAAATAATCGACTTGTAACACAAAATTTACTTTACACTGTTTAAATTTTGATCAACTTGTCAACGTGCGTTAAAACAGTTGTTGATTTTGAATAATGGATTGAATTAAAAATAAGGAGATTCTTTTCATATTTGTTAAAGTTTGTTAGTTGATTGTACCTGAATCGGAATGTTGATATTTTAATCCAATGACTATCGCTTTGAAATTTATAGCTTTATTCATTAGTTACCAAGTCATAAAACTCGCCACTTATTCATTATATCCAGTTATTGACGTAAAAGAGATTAAATCTTGTAACCTTCAGCCAACCACTATGAAAACTGTAAAATCGAACGTAACTTCACCTATTTTGATTCATACTAAATATTGGCTATTGAATAAAGAATTCGCACACGTATCAATGATATGGTAAATGGCCAAGATTCAATGACTTCCGTATAAATCAACTGTTGCCTATTTAAAAATCTTGTAATATATATGATGTAAGAGAAATTTGGTTACAAAAACAGATGTGTTTAAAAGAAAACATACTTTATGACTGGATTTACGCTTGATTTATTATCAAATGTTTTGAATTAAAACTGATTTAGTTTGTCTTAGCAACAGAAACACTTTGAATATTTTACTGATTAAAGATGAAAAAGAAGAATTTCAGAAAAGTTTTGAAGTACACAAATACGAGAAATCGATGGTAAATTTAAATTTAACGACTACTTATAAGCTTGATAACAAGTTTATGGGTGAATTAGATGTTTCTCATTCAGTCAGCTATTAATGTGTAAACAATTATAGTGTTTCATCATATTAAAAGTTTAGCTAATTTTGAATGGTGAGTCGTAATACGCTTCTACAACCTCACTTGTATCAATTAATAAATCAAGTGAAAAGGATTATTAACTTTAATGATTATTAATTTTTAATTTGGATATTTTCCTCATAACAAAGAAAATACCATTCACACAGTAATTGAATGTCATGAAGTACTGGAAAAGTTTTTCACTTTTCTGTGATGTCTCAGAATTGTATGCACGCATAATTCATTTCACTAGGAAATTCTTTATAATCAGAATGGGGGTTGGTGGAGAATGTAGTAATTTTAACAGTTGAATTCATAAGCCGATTAAAGCTAGATCACCATGGAAAACCTGGAAGCACTGGACAGCCGTTTCATCTTAGTATGGGACCCCTCATCAGTGCGCATCCATGATCCCACATGAGAGACTCAAACACAAGACCTTCGGTCTCGCGCGCGAACACTTAACCTCTAGACTACTGAGCCGACATCCAATAGTGTTAATGTCTAACTTCAGTCAATCTATGATTTTGCATAACTATTCCTCTACTGTTTGAGGTAGATACCTGTTTCTACCCAACACGGACTGGACTATTGATCACGGCTTCTCACTAGAACTACAGGCAGCCAGTTAGAAGTGAGCACATGATGATTATGATCAGTGATTCCAGGTTTTTAATGATGGTTTAGCTTAGATCGACTCATGAATTCAACTGTTAAGATCCATTATACTCACATCCTTCGATGAAGCCTTTTGACTCAAGCAGTTCACATGTCTAGTCACATCCAACTCGCAATATACTCCATCTTTCTAATGTGACTGAGAAACAGGTGATCCACCTCAATACATTCATACGTTTTCCTCTCTATTCAACAATAATATATATTAAAAGTTAGTAAACCGAAGGATTAATCTGTTTGTTCAACGGACTAAAATAAATGTCAACTACTAAGAAATTTCCATCCAATGCTTTTTCAGTCAACTGGCTGTATACAACGTAGGTCTCTTATGCAACTGTGTCTAAGCTGACACATCACAGAATAGTACAGTGACAAAACTACCAAGATAAAAGTAGAAGAAACAAAATTAAGTCGAATGTAAGGCTAAGATTGATAAACATATTTTTTGAATCCATATTGAGATTTTGTCTGCCAAGAGGCTAGCAAGATGAAGAGCAATGATTGACATACTCAACAACTTGACATGAATCGTTTACACCTTAGTCTGTATTGCATGTTTGATTGTATATTATCTTATAATAGAATTAGCACTCACTTAATCCACAAATCATCAGTTCATTACTAACATATAATAAACCTTTATCTTGTAGTGAATCGTGTATATCAACAGATTCATAGTGATATTTCGTAAACTATTATTTATACATAAATTTAGCTGGCTAATGTTTTTAATTAGTAATGATGAAAATGACAGTTTAGTATACTGAGTAGATGAAAATTAATATCTTTTGACTGTGCGTGTGTAAGTTAATAGTGTTCTGTTCTGGTTATAACATACACAACAGAACGGTAAGGTCATCAAAATATACACAATTATATTCTTTCTTGACATGTAAAACATAACAGTTTTGTTTCTATTTGTTTATTTAATACAGACTAGCTCAATACAAGACGATGAAGAGGTAAGTTCTAAAAAAATTCATATAAAGCAAACAAATAATATAACACCCAATAGTTTTTGACACAGTGGAGATCTGTAGTTAAAACACATTATTTTGTAGTTAATGGGGATGTCTCTGTTGAATAAATTAATTGTGAAGATCTATTTCGGTCTTTCCAAACACCATCAACATCATAAACTCTAAAACAAATCAGCTAGTAGAATTTCTTAAGCTTGGGTTGATTACGGTGGGTAGGAGGAAAACGAAACCTCTACAGTTGAATCGCTTCACTCAGTAAACAAAACATTATTAAATTTAACAGATTATTTATTTCTGAAAACATACAAACGTTACGATGAGACTATAGTTTGTGGACGACCTTTGAGTGACAGTGAAGTGATCTTGAGGATGTTCACCCACTTACTAGGGCCAAATGAGGGTTATAAACTTGTGCAAAGAATGAGCATTATGATTTACAGTTGATGGTTAGGATTAAGAATTATATTCAGGGTTTTTATCACAAACTGACATCAGACAAAATGCCAAAACGCTATTTAGCCAAATGGATGAATGAATTTCGCACTAAAATCCAAGATCTGTTATCCTAAACCTGATTGATCCGTCCATAAACTATGGTCTCACCCTAATAACAACCGATTAAAACTCGAACTGGGTAAAATATTTGTTTCTCTATTCATAATATATTTAATTGATAATATTGTTCAATAATTAACACATTCTGAAGCTCATTCCTAGCTGAACGTCTTCAAACTCAAGGAGGTTTTTTACTTTAGCTCAGATTTGGTCTAATGTCACTTAAAAATGCAACTTATTAATGAGGATTTCCTCAATTTTATTTTCTACAATTCTAGTGATATTTTATTTAACTATTAGGTATGTAATAATAATGTCTTAATATAAAGCATAGTTCAAATTGGGTAACACATTATTTAAACCTAATGTATATATATATATATATATATATATATATATATATATATATGTAAACTAGCAATCATGTAAGAATCATGAGTCCGAATTCCCTAATATGACCTTTAACTGAGCATCCACTGTTTATTCCATTTCACATAAATAACATTAAATCTAATCAAATGGAATGTCGATTAACTTTCCTAAATGTGAATGAGTGGATTGTAGAAAAACTGACTGATTCAATATTGATACCATAGTAAATCTAAAAACCATTTAGTTTCAGTGTTCAGAAATTCTTGAATACACCTTGCAGCTAACGGTACCGCTACAAGTTCAGGATTTACTTAAAACTTCATAAAGTGCGAAAACAGAAGCATTTATTTAATACTTTTAAAATTACTAATTCACTTCCATTTATTGAATTAAAAGACAGTGTGTATTTTAGTGGAGTAGGAGGATTAGTAGTTATAAAGCTTGGTTTTTAATCAATAGACCAACATTTCATCCCTGCTTTACCCAATTAAATTAAGACAGTTCATTAGTGCTGACTAACCATCACAGAAGCGGTTGGACTCAAAGTTTCGTACATTAATCCATACTTGGTTAATGAGTTACATTAAATAATTAGTGTATTTTAATGCTAAAACCAGTAACTCTATAACCCTGAAGAGTACTTATGTACACACAAACTCCTCAGTCCTTCTGTTTCAGTAGGAATCGCTATTGATTTGATTAGGTGATAAAAACTCGTTATCAAGTGAATATTTGGTCAAATGAAAAGGAGAAATTGTACTCTCTAATATTAATGCAGCAAAACTGACTATTTACCGATGATCAACTTGTAACTTTTATTTAATTAAATTGTTTATCGTGAATTAGTTTGTCCAAGACTGATTTGTCAATATTTTGCTAATGAATTAGATAAATAAGTGGGTTTTGTAGTTATTGCTAATACATAACGAATTCGTTCAAGGAGAACATATTCCAACAGAGACCGATCTAATTCGGTCATGAATTTAGACAAAGGGAAAATATGAACTCTTTCGACCAGCAATACACATCAAACCCATTTAGAAAGTTTGTAGACATCTTGACTCAGTAGCCTAATGTGTAACCAACCAATGAGTGTTTCAAGCGATAGGTACCGTGGTCATAGGCTTATTTTCAACATTAAAATAAGTATCCACTTACATTTATCTGATTAAATTCAGATAAAACTAGACGTAAGTCCTGTGTTCCACTGATCGTCGCTATCAAGAAGTAAAATGAAATTTCTACTATAGGTTGATAAAAACCAATCACTGAAAACATCCTCATTTCAGGTATTCAAGGTCTAAAACTTGATATAAGATAATAATAAAATATCATTAACAAAACAATGGAGCTTTCCAGATTTCAGAATGGTCCAATTTTACATGTATTTATTGAGAATTCTATAAAATGACGATAATTGTTTGAGTTTAAATTGAGGATTTAAGCCTAAAAACTGAAAGATTTTGTATTAAAAAAATAACGATACATCATGAAATTAAAATAGCTGATAGTTATAATCATAAAATAATACACGGTAATAGGAAAAGTAAAACAAATAACACAATGAACCGTAAATGGTGAAAAAAAGTAGGAAAAAATACCTAATTCCCTTCTCGATAAATACTTCCTATTTTAGAAGGAGATTACAATAGACAATGAAGATTATGAAAGTGGAAAACAAGAGAATAAAGAGGAAATGACAACAGAAACAGACAACAAAGAAATGGTAACGACCGAGAAAACTGACATGAAACTGAGAACGGAATATAAATATAGATATATAATGAAAGACCCAGGAACAGGAGGTCTAGTCGACATACAAGATATGAAGAAAAATGTCGTCATAAACGGAGCTATAAAACTAACAGATGAATTAGCCGTTCTACCAAACGGAGATATTGTAGCAACGAAGCCGCTCATTGAAAACCAACGTTTCATCATAGCTGAAAATATAAGTCAAATAAGTGACAGAAAGGTTTATGGAACACACAGCGGAGAAGTGATTGAAGGAGCAGAAGTAGATGACAAAGGAATAATACATTTACCCAATTCGACACTTGCGATAATGGTTTCACTCGACAAGGATCGATATGTCATATTGCACAATAACAAAACACAGAGAGAATCAATATTTGACCGACGCCTCGGAACAGAACTAGTAAATGCCACGCTCCACCATAATGGAATGATCAAATTAGCCACTGGACAGCTCGTAGCTCCCTCCTCTCGAGAAGGCTATAAATACATGGTAGTCACAAATGAAGACGACCAAACCCTTCTAGTTTACGATCGTTTTACAGGAGAACAGATCAAGGGTGCACAGGTTGATCCCAATGGTTTGATTCAGTTTGAAGATGGACGCATGGCCATCGAGCCATCATCCAAACTAGATAGATATGTTATAATGACGGACCCAAACAACGGTGAAAAACTAGTTTTCGACAGACGAACAGGTAGTCATATCAAGGATGCTGTGTACAGTGAAGATGGGTTGATTCGCTTTCCAGACGGTAGGCGCGTTGCACCAGGTTCCACTGATAACAGCTCACAGTATCTAATTCACTTCGACCCTACAACGAAGGAGAACTTGGTTTTTGACAGGCATACTGGTGAACAAGTCGAGGGTGCCTCAGTAGACTCACGAGGTTTCATACTTCTTCCCGATGGTAAATTGCATCTAGATCAGAACCAAGTAAAGCATAGGTACATTGTCCTACGGGAGACAACCGATAATATCACATTCGTAGTCGACACTAAATCAGGCCAGAAAATTGATGGAGCAGTTGTTTTGGACAATGGTCTCGTCAAGCTACCCGATGGAAATCTGGTTGCACCCAGCTCAAACACAAGCGCAAATTACATGGTGGTCGAATTGACTGAGGGCGAAGAGAATCCAGTAGTATTCGATCGCAGGACAGGTGAGCAAATCCCAGATGCTTACCTAGACAAGGATGGTATCATACATTTGCCGGATGGAAGTTTGGCTATCTCGGCATCAGAAACTATGGATCGCTACCTTGTGGCACAAGATAACCTGACAGGAGACCCTGTGATGTTTGATCGTCGCCTCGGAACAGAACTAGTAAATGCCACGCTCCACCATAATGGAATGATCAAATTAGCCACTGGACAGCTCGTAGCTCCCTCCTCTCGAGAAGGCTATAAATACATGGTAGTCACAAATGAAGACGACCAAACCCTTCTAGTTTACGATCGTTTTACAGGAGAACAGATCAAGGGTGCACAGGTTGATCCCAATGGTTTGATTCAGTTTGAAGATGGACGCATGGCCATCGAGCCATCATCCAAACTAGATAGATATGTTATAATGACGGACCCAAACAACGGTGAAAAACTAGTTTTCGACAGACGAACAGGTAGTCATATCAAGGATGCTGTGTACAGTGAAGATGGGTTGATTCGCTTTCCAGACGGTAGGCGCGTTGCACCAGGTTCCACTGATAACAGCTCACAGTATCTAATTCACTTCGACCCTACAACGAAGGAGAACTTGGTTTTTGACAGGCATACTGGTGAACAAGTCGAGGGTGCCTCAGTAGACTCACGAGGTTTCATACTTCTTCCCGATGGTAAATTGCATCTAGATCAGAACCAAGTAAAGCATAGGTACATTGTCCTACGGGAGACAACCGATAATATCACATTCGTAGTCGACACTAAATCAGGCCAGAAAATTGATGGAGCAGTTGTTTTGGACAATGGTCTCGTCAAGCTACCCGATGGAAATCTGGTTGCACCCAGCTCAAACACAAGCGCAAATTACATGGTGGTCGAATTGACTGAGGGCGAAGAGAATCCAGTAGTATTCGATCGCAGGACAGGTGAGCAAATCCCAGATGCTTACCTAGACAAGGATGGTATCATACATTTGCCGGATGGAAGTTTGGCTATCTCGGCATCAGAAACTATGGATCGCTACCTTGTGGCACAAGATAACCTGACAGGAGACCCTGTGATGTTTGATCGTCGCCTCGGAACAGAACTAGTAAATGCCACGCTCCACCATAATGGAATGATCAAATTAGCCACTGGACAGCTCGTAGCTCCCTCCTCTCGAGAAGGCTATAAATACATGGTAGTCACAAATGAAGACGACCAAACCCTTCTAGTTTACGATCGTTTTACAGGAGAACAGATCAAGGGTGCACAGGTTGATCCCAATGGTTTGATTCAGTTTGAAGATGGACGCATGGCCATCGAGCCATCATCCAAACTAGATAGATATGTTATAATGACGGACCCAAACAACGGTGAAAAACTAGTTTTCGACAGACGAACAGGTAGTCATATCAAGGATGCTGTGTACAGTGAAGATGGGTTGATTCGCTTTCCAGACGGTAGGCGCGTTGCACCAGGTTCCACTGATAACAGCTCACAGTATCTAATTCACTTCGACCCTACAACGAAGGAGAACTTGGTTTTTGACAGGCATACTGGTGAACAAGTCGAGGGTGCCTCAGTAGACTCACGAGGTTTCATACTTCTTCCCGATGGTAAATTGCATCTAGATCAGAACCAAGTAAAGCATAGGTACATTGTCCTACGGGAGACAACCGATAATATCACATTCGTAGTCGACACTAAATCAGGCCAGAAAATTGATGGAGCAGTTGTTTTGGACAATGGTCTCGTCAAGCTACCCGATGGAAATCTGGTTGCACCCAGCTCAAACACAAGCGCAAATTACATGGTGGTCGAATTGACTGAGGGCGAAGAGAATCCAGTAGTATTCGATCGCAGGACAGGTGAGCAAATCCCAGATGCTTACCTAGACAAGGATGGTATCATACATTTGCCGGATGGAAGTTTGGCTATCTCGGCATCAGAAACTATGGATCGCTACCTTGTGGCACAAGATAACCTGACAGGAGACCCTGTGATGTTTGATCGTCGCCTCGGAACAGAACTAGTAAATGCCACGCTCCACCATAATGGAATGATCAAATTAGCCACTGGACAGCTCGTAGCTCCCTCCTCTCGAGAAGGCTATAAATACATGGTAGTCACAAATGAAGACGACCAAACCCTTCTAGTTTACGATCGTTTTACAGGAGAACAGATCAAGGGTGCACAGGTTGATCCCAATGGTTTGATTCAGTTTGAAGATGGACGCATGGCCATCGAGCCATCATCCAAACTAGATAGATATGTTATAATGACGGACCCAAACAACGGTGAAAAACTAGTTTTCGACAGACGAACAGGTAGTCATATCAAGGATGCTGTGTACAGTGAAGATGGGTTGATTCGCTTTCCAGACGGTAGGCGCGTTGCACCAGGTTCCACTGATAACAGCTCACAGTATCTAATTCACTTCGACCCTACAACGAAGGAGAACTTGGTTTTTGACAGGCATACTGGTGAACAAGTCGAGGGTGCCTCAGTAGACTCACGAGGTTTCATACTTCTTCCCGATGGTAAATTGCATCTAGATCAGAACCAAGTAAAGCATAGGTACATTGTCCTACGGGAGACAACCGATAATATCACATTCGTAGTCGACACTAAATCAGGCCAGAAAATTGATGGAGCAGTTGTTTTGGACAATGGTCTCGTCAAGCTACCCGATGGAAATCTGGTTGCACCCAGCTCAAACACAAGCGCAAATTACATGGTGGTCGAATTGACTGAGGGCGAAGAGAATCCAGTAGTATTCGATCGCAGGACAGGTGAGCAAATCCCAGATGCTTACCTAGACAAGGATGGTATCATACATTTGCCGGATGGAAGTTTGGCTATCTCGGCATCAGAAACTATGGATCGCTACCTTGTGGCACAAGATAACCTGACAGGAGACCCTGTGATGTTTGATCGTCGCCTCGGAACAGAACTAGTAAATGCCACGCTCCACCATAATGGAATGATCAAATTAGCCACTGGACAGCTCGTAGCTCCCTCCTCTCGAGAAGGCTATAAATACATGGTAGTCACAAATGAAGACGACCAAACCCTTCTAGTTTACGATCGTTTTACAGGAGAACAGATCAAGGGTGCACAGGTTGATCCCAATGGTTTGATTCAGTTTGAAGATGGACGCATGGCCATCGAGCCATCATCCAAACTAGATAGATATGTTATAATGACGGACCCAAACAACGGTGAAAAACTAGTTTTCGACAGACGAACAGGTAGTCATATCAAGGATGCTGTGTACAGTGAAGATGGGTTGATTCGCTTTCCAGACGGTAGGCGCGTTGCACCAGGTTCCACTGATAACAGCTCACAGTATCTAATTCACTTCGACCCTACAACGAAGGAGAACTTGGTTTTTGACAGGCATACTGGTGAACAAGTCGAGGGTGCCTCAGTAGACTCACGAGGTTTCATACTTCTTCCCGATGGTAAATTGCATCTAGATCAGAACCAAGTAAAGCATAGGTACATTGTCCTACGGGAGACAACCGATAATATCACATTCGTAGTCGACACTAAATCAGGCCAGAAAATTGATGGAGCAGTTGTTTTGGACAATGGTCTCGTCAAGCTACCCGATGGAAATCTGGTTGCACCCAGCTCAAACACAAGCGCAAATTACATGGTGGTCGAATTGACTGAGGGCGAAGAGAATCCAGTAGTATTCGATCGCAGGACAGGTGAGCAAATCCCAGATGCTTACCTAGACAAGGATGGTATCATACATTTGCCGGATGGAAGTTTGGCTATCTCGGCATCAGAAACTATGGATCGCTACCTTGTGGCACAAGATAACCTGACAGGAGACCCTGTGATGTTTGATCGTCGCCTCGGAACAGAACTAGTAAATGCCACGCTCCACCATAATGGAATGATCAAATTAGCCACTGGACAGCTCGTAGCTCCCTCCTCTCGAGAAGGCTATAAATACATGGTAGTCACAAATGAAGACGACCAAACCCTTCTAGTTTACGATCGTTTTACAGGAGAACAGATCAAGGGTGCACAGGTTGATCCCAATGGTTTGATTCAGTTTGAAGATGGACGCATGGCCATCGAGCCATCATCCAAACTAGATAGATATGTTATAATGACGGACCCAAACAACGGTGAAAAACTAGTTTTCGACAGACGAACAGGTAGTCATATCAAGGATGCTGTGTACAGTGAAGATGGGTTGATTCGCTTTCCAGACGGTAGGCGCGTTGCACCAGGTTCCACTGATAACAGCTCACAGTATCTAATTCACTTCGACCCTACAACGAAGGAGAACTTGGTTTTTGACAGGCATACTGGTGAACAAGTCGAGGGTGCCTCAGTAGACTCACGAGGTTTCATACTTCTTCCCGATGGTAAATTGCATCTAGATCAGAACCAAGTAAAGCATAGGTACATTGTCCTACGGGAGACAACCGATAATATCACATTCGTAGTCGACACTAAATCAGGCCAGAAAATTGATGGAGCAGTTGTTTTGGACAATGGTCTCGTCAAGCTACCCGATGGAAATCTGGTTGCACCCAGCTCAAACACAAGCGCAAATTACATGGTGGTCGAATTGACTGAGGGCGAAGAGAATCCAGTAGTATTCGATCGCAGGACAGGTGAGCAAATCCCAGATGCTTACCTAGACAAGGATGGTATCATACATTTGCCGGATGGAAGTTTGGCTATCTCGGCATCAGAAACTATGGATCGCTACCTTGTGGCACAAGATAACCTGACAGGAGACCCTGTGATGTTTGATCGTCGCCTCGGAACAGAACTAGTAAATGCCACGCTCCACCATAATGGAATGATCAAATTAGCCACTGGACAGCTCGTAGCTCCCTCCTCTCGAGAAGGCTATAAATACATGGTAGTCACAAATGAAGACGACCAAACCCTTCTAGTTTACGATCGTTTTACAGGAGAACAGATCAAGGGTGCACAGGTTGATCCCAATGGTTTGATTCAGTTTGAAGATGGACGCATGGCCATCGAGCCATCATCCAAACTAGATAGATATGTTATAATGACGGACCCAAACAACGGTGAAAAACTAGTTTTCGACAGACGAACAGGTAGTCATATCAAGGATGCTGTGTACAGTGAAGATGGGTTGATTCGCTTTCCAGACGGTAGGCGCGTTGCACCAGGTTCCACTGATAACAGCTCACAGTATCTAATTCACTTCGACCCTACAACGAAGGAGAACTTGGTTTTTGACAGGCATACTGGTGAGCAAGTTGAGGGTGCTTATGTAGATGAACTGAATATGATACATCTTCCTGACGGTGATTTATTTCTTCAGCCTGATGTTCTATATCCTCGCTACATGTCACTTTCTCGCAGCAATGATAATTATCCCGTGGTTTTGGATTCTTCCACCGGTGATATTTTGAACGCATCGTTTTTAGGTGGTTCTCTTTTCCGTGTAAATGGTGGTGGAGTAATCGCAGTCGGTAACTTATCAGGTGGTCGTTTCGTTGTTTATGATGGTGTTGATGTTGCAGTTCCACGTATTTACGACACGTTGCTGGGTCACGCTGTACCAGGAGCTGTTCTTCGGCCTGATGGTTGGATTGAGTTTACGGATGGCCTAGTCTTTCCTGTGCTTTCTTCTGTTCCTGTCGGTCAGCGCTATTTTGTTTTTCGCAATTCATCCTCAGGGCAGGAAGTTGTTTATGACGCTATATTAGGTTCAGCTGTTTCGGATTCATTTGTTGACGAAAACGGTCTCATTCATTTAACAAACGGATCAATTTTTAGTCCAATCACTTATAATCACACTTCTTTTTTGTTTGACGATCTTTCGGAACCTGCTTATTCATCAACACTGCGTGAACGTAAAAATGCTTCTCTATATCATATTGTCTCATTGAATTCGACTACTAAAATGGTTAGTTATTTAAAACCACTGATTTACAATGTCTGTAAACTAAACTGTACGCACTTGGTTATATAGCTTACACTAATCACTTTTAAAACGCTTATCATAGAAATGCTAATATATCTATGCTAATGACCATGTTTCTTAACTGCATATTTCATCATTTTTGTTTATTGTTTTCCATTGTGATTGAATTATTTTTTAACCTAGTACCAACTACCATTTAAATGTCATAAAAATCTGCTCCCTAAATTATCTACTCACTGTGTTCATCACTTCAAAACTTAGTAAAGTTTTCACTGAATGATCATAAATCTCACGCTTTCAAATCACCTCAGTAACTAAACTTTCAGTCATTGTAAACTAAACCTATTTTTATTAGTTCAATGGAATCGTCTGCGTACATCACTTCTGCAAATATAAACATAGCTTAGAAATTTTTGTGTAAAAGTATACATTTAACTATCTGCAAATTTTCCGATTATTTGATATGCAAACACATTTGCACGATGCTTGTTAATAAATTAAATCCTTTCATTTGTATCTTTGCTACATATGCACATTTGAAATTTATATTCACAATTAAATATGTTTCTTTTTTCCTGAGTTTATGCTGCACCCATAATTGAATAAAATGAAAATATCTATCAAATTATTTTAGGGTATTTAACGCATAATAAACTTTTTTCTCCCTTATACTTACAGCAACCTGAAGAAATGGATTTAATTTCTTCTGGTAAGTTTTGCATTTATGTTTTGAATTTCAAAAAATTTCCCGGACATCAGTTGATTAACCTGATAATCATGATCAGTTAGGTCTCATTTAGGATCCCTGCTGAAACACCAAGATCACAATACCATGTGCTATATTGATATCACTCTTAACTCAGCAATTCGAACTAAAGGATTACGTTGGTTACCAGTGGTTCACTATACTATGCACAAGTCAACTGTTGACTTTCCATTAAAAAAGTATTTAGAATAGTTTTATTCGCAAACTAATATAAGCTAAGCTACAGACCGATTCTAATTAAAACCCTCAGACAAAATTTAGTCGTGAGTAGAAGGTTATTAACCAGACGTGATTAATGTAGAGCTTTCAACTGGTTGACAAGAAGTCAGGAAAATGTATTTCTAAGTGATTTTTTAGTCAAACACAGAATCTCTTTATTTTAGTACAGTTGATAATAATATGCGATTTCAAGCTCTTACAAGAATTACTTTATTTCAGCATGTAAATCACTATTAACTGATACATTCTAAGTGACTTTAAAATGTCATCCAGTGCAATTATCAAGTATTAAATACAGTGACAGTTACATACCTACACAATAATGTCATGCTAAATGAATAGTAAACATTAAAAGTTTAAATAAAATCACTAAAATAACAATTTTCTCCGGAATAGTTTAGTTTCTAAACGTTTATACACAAACTTATGGAAACTTATGTGGTACATTAAACTGTTACTTGAAGATTACCTCAAAAGTTAGTCTTTACAATTAGTATAAGACAGAATGTGATTTCTAAGATAATATGGAAACGAAATTCCTCTAGCTTTGAAAAGCATCGATAATTTATCCAAAATAAAATAGAATTTAAGTATACCTTAAAGACTGAAATATTCGTGCTACGAAAATCTCAGAGCTATAAAATCTCTATGGGAAATAGTTAACATTAAAAATGTGGCCGTTGTATGTAATAGATCATATTGGAAAAGAAGCAAATATTAAAATAATGAATTCAATGGCATAAAATACTTGAAACCGGTGATCCTTTAAGACATAAAACATAAGTTATACACAGAGATACTAAAAAGAAACTACTTTACACTGAAAAGTTTGTTGGAAATGAGTAAATAAACAGAATCCTAAGCTTTCATTAAACTCATTAGTTGTTAATATATCTTACCATCCATAAATTACAGTTAATTTTTTATATACCCGCTACTAAGTTTTGTACCATAAATGACCTAATTATGTATAGGTTGAAATTTATTATTTCTGTTGCATTTCGGTCATGTATCAGATTTAAACAATCATGTACGTTTATGTTTAATAATACAAAGTAAACAGGGCTAGTTTTTCTAATATTCTGAGTGAATATTAGTGATACAAGAATTTATTTAGACCAATCAGAGTTAGTTATGATCATTTGCATTATTCGTTTTCAAAACAAAATCAATCAGTTTACAAAATTATCACCCATAACTTAGTTCACAATTAAGAGAATGGGTAAACAGAACACTGAAAAGTCTGGTTTGATTAAAGATTATTGATGATGCAACTAAGATTTATGACGCTAGGACAAATTAAGAAAGTAATGACAAACGATATACAAGGTAGATTCAAATTTGAAAATGACGATCATAGTCAGTTACTCAGTACTCTGACTTATAAGATAACGCTTAATCTATCAGTCTAAAAACCGCTAATGGAGCGAACAAATTGCTCCTATGTGATATAAGTTATAGCTGTTTTGTCATTACCAGGGGAATTAACTTGAATGTTAAACGTAAAGATCCTGGCAGTAAACACTTCCTTTTCCCTTCTTAAATATATATATATATATATATAGGGTGTTTAGTTACACTCAAGAGTATGGAAATTCTCTGACTTAGATGTAAAAATTTACTACTTACTTTCACATTACCTCGTTATAATGGTGTGAAAATTCCTTTTTAAATGTTCAATGATTAGATTTTGCAATGCTATCACAGCAAGTAAATGCAATTAGTTAACTTGCATAAAGCACAACAGCGTTTATAGATATATATCTTAAAGAAATTCTAAATGTTAATTTGTTTGGACAGTTTGTGATGTGATTGATTTCTTGTCACAATTTTGTTTGTCATTCTCCTGTAACTAACTTTCAGTAATTAAGTAAAATTTGGAATACTTGGTTTCAATTTACCTGAACGAAGATCCCTACATAAATGATTCGGGAATATGTGATTTGACAAACAAGATTTATAAAAATCCAGTTTCACTCGTTCCGATACAATTTTGCACTTGAGGTTAACAAGTTCATCTAACCTTTTAGTAATTTGTGTAAGGAGTCTTCTTTTCAGAAATGTAAAACAATTAGTCCATTTGATAAATTTCGATAATGCTATTAGAAGACGAAAGTTATCTTTGCTATGGCTTACCTTTAACCTGTCTAGTTGATCTTTTAGTTTTCATATAAAAATGTCTTAACAAGTGTATGTGTGATCAGATTGTTCGAAATGTATTGTGCAAATATATCACATAATTCTGATAACCTTCGTCTTCTTATTGCATTATCGAAGTTAAGTAAAAGTCGATACAATCTTTTAATGAACTAATGATTGTTTTTTTGACCCTTTTCATAGATAAAGTCGAAAAAGTAAGTCAATGTTCAATATTTTCAAATTAATCAAATTAAGAGGTATTTTGTTTGTAATGTTTTATCAAAAATTTAAAGTACTTCTATAGATAATGAAGACGATGTTTCCAAATATTTATTTTCGTTTTAGATAACGAACGGCAGCTCATGTGAATGTATTGAAGATTTATTCCGACGAGTAAGACTTTTTTTTAACAATATAGATCTGATTTGATAGAATTAATTCTTAACGTCTCGATACTAATCTAAGCCTTACCATCAATACTATTGTACAATAATTAAACAATAAATGTTCACTCTTACAGTAAAATGTTTATAATTTAAATTTTAATGATATATAATATTTCAAATAATCTTTTTTTCAAATTTATAAACAGTTTCCACTAACTTAAATGCAGTTCCGAATGTATTCCTCACCATTTTTATTACTGTTGAGAAGAATCCGATACAAGAAAAGCATTCATAATGACTTTTCATGTTTGACTTGATAGTTTAAAATAAATTGAGCATTAAGTGTGTTGTTTATGCTGGTAAAGTGATATATCTGCAAAACTCCAATGAGTGAAAAATTAAATTTTTCACGTTTCGCAACTTGTGTCGTTTTTTTTTTAGTGAACAAACAAATCACTAACTTAACACGATTTTAAATAGTAAAGAGCAATAACGCAGAATACTTAATACAACAAAAGTAAATTTGATCAAGTTAATGTCATGTCACTTCAGCCAATGTGATTCTGTGTGACATTATTATGTGTATTTGTAAAACAGAAGGATATATTGTTAAAATCTATTCGAATGAAATGTCATGGATTGGCATAGTAGTTTTACCGTACAGTCATGGCACAACAGAAGGATTGTGATTTGTCCCGAAACTGCAGAGAACAAAATCACTCAGTAAAGAAAAACACTTCAAAATCTTTTAAAATGAATAAAGAAAAGGATCCTTTTCATGTTTACACAAAATCGCGTCTACAAACAAGATTGTGTAGACTGTGACCCATCCTATATTGGAGTCTTCTCGTGAAATCTCGGCCCGTGCAAAGGAACGCTTAATCTACCCAATGAGACCTAATAATTCTGTAGAGCAAGAAAATCTACAATTCAGATCGGTAATACCAGTGTATGTTATTTTCAACAACCATCAAATAGATATTAATAATATTCAAGTAATTCAGAAAGGCTTTTCTAACCATAAAGAAAGGATTCTGTGGAGCTTTTTAAATAATGTTTAGTATTACGGTGGTTAATAGAAAGGAAGGTATAACTACACATAGAACTTCGACCATTTATCCAAATAACCACACTCAATTCTGCACACAATCATGCAAATTTTTAAATCCACTTCCCCACATTACAATAAGAACATTTTTTTACACCCACTAGAGTACATATAAATACACACGATGTCTCATACAGAATCACCTTAACTGAAACGACATGTCATCACCATGATCAAGTCTACTTTTGTCGTACTAAGTATTCTGCGTTATTGCTCTTTACTATTTGAAATCGTGTTAAGTCAGTGATTTATTTATTCACTGAAAAAACGACACAATAAGCTGAAAAACATCAGAAATTTAATTTTTTATTCATCAGGATCTTATAATCTCATATCAATCATAACGAATGTTTGTATAGCTAATTTTTTAGTATAAGTACGCGCACGTCACTGCTTGGGATAAAGTAACTTCCAAAACAAAACCATCGTTGATACATGTCTCAATGGATTTGAGTTGTGACTGGTTAGACGAGTCATTTAATAAAATAGGTATAGTTGTACTTCACAATTTCATGTAACGACCAGACACACTAGCCAATTATAAAAGTAATGACGAATTCAGTTCAGCATTCGGGTTTAATATCTCCATCACTAGAGAATCAGAACGTCGATAATCCCAGAAATGCGGTAAAATATAAGACGTGTCAGTCCGCTACATTTATGATTTTATCTTAAGCAATAATCTGCCAACAAATTCTGTCTCATATTAGTTTCAATACAGGCATTTAAGCCTAGACTTCTTGTACTTAACTATTCAGTAACCTCAGTTCGAGAAATACCTGATTCACTATGTAACAAAACAGGTTGCTATATGACTTCGAACCAAGTCATCATAGTCTTAGTAAACAGCTTTATTTTGAATAAATCACTACATTACCTACTTTTAATGCATATAAAGTAAACATTCTCCACAGATAGCTTCTGAATTAAGTAACTAATCCTTAACCCCCGGAGATTTACCTTTACAACTAACTAGATAATGAAGATATGACAATGAGATTGTATGTAAAAACTAATAATTACTGTCGATAGGATAAAAGTTATACTTTAAACTAATAATAGTACGCTGCAAAAACTTGTTAGGTTTTTAAAATAAATATGAGGGCAAGACACATCGGATACCGCATATTTGAAATAAACTATCTTTTAATAAATAATCGGATTTCATAAGTTTACGAATAGTAAATATATGAATTTCAGATGATTTCATTTTGAAACTTACTAAAGAGTTACTCAGAGTTACTCAATATTTTTATGATAATCTAATAATGTAAGTTATCTTATTTACTTTTCACCGAACTCTATAACCAAACTTATTTCGTTATACTTTTCTAGTAAAATGGTGATAAACCGCAGTACAAAATTGTATATAAAATCACAAGTTCATGGCAGTTTAGCTAAACATACATTTTAAATAATGTTTTAATAACTAATAACATATTTAAAAGATATCTTATATCTACCAGGTATCTCTCCTATAATATGCATTGAACTGTATCGTAAAATACTACAGATGGAAAGAAACTTAAAAAATCAGCACACAGTATATAGCAGTACCAACATATATCACATTTCTTGATCATCTAAAATTATAGTTCAATAATAACCTTAGCGTTTTCTGGTGATAAAGTAAATCTAACAGGTGTCTGTTGAACGGCTAACCTAGCAAATAATGCTGATGATAAAATAAAGCGTTACTGTTAGGTATAAGACTATCCATAGTCTGTATTGAAAAAAAACTGAGTAGAAACACAATGAAACCGTGACACCTAATGATGCTTTAAATTATGAAACAATATTGATGAGACAAATGTTGAAATTCGTGAAGTGAATGACTACTGTTTTCAAACTTATCATCTGGTTGTAGCCGTAGCCTCTTAAAGAAACCTGTAACATGAGTCAATTATAAAATAATATATTGTCCTAAGAAATATATTCAAGGATGACTAGTGATCTGTAGGGGTCCAAGTTCTATCTTACATCAAGTCCAATCTTCGGTTACGCAGTTGTAAGTATGCACTTAACTATGGTCCCGAATAATAGCATGACATAACTCAGTATATGTTTGTTATAAAATGATATTTACGTGACTACAGAAAATGGTCGTCCAACTGTTTAACTAAGAACAAGACTGGTGGGGACACATATATGTTCAACATACATTGAAAGGAGCTTGTACAGGACGCACGAATATTCATTGAATACAAGTCAAAAACACGTTAATCCACCAGTTACTCGAACACAAGGTTGATTTTATGATATTAGACTGACCATCGGTCTGCCCTACATCTACTTTACTCATACGGCTGAGTACCAATAAATTGTAATCCTTCTGCATTTGATGATGCACCAACATGTGACGAACGTTGTCATAATAACTAAATCTTAGTAAATACTTTTACTGTTATTGATCAAGGTCTACCTGTTGTTGATATTACCTCAAGTACGTGTATTTGATCTACTTATCAAACAAAGTGAGGAAAAAGAATGTATTTTATAGAACTGAGTCATACAGATGAAAGAGACACATAAACAAAAATACATTATAATCTGAGACAAATCCATACAGATTCAAATTGTTCCATTTGAAAAAGGGGAAAAGGTAAGAAACCTAATGACACCAACACTAATGAAGTTTTAACAAGAGAAATATATAAAACAGAAACAAGCAAGAATGATGAGTAAGACAAATAGGTTAATAGTTCTTTACAGACTAACTGCAAAACAATATATATAACAGTACTGGATATTAATTTAAGTCTTTAATTACAGGATTCTCTTTCTCTCGTTGAGAATTTAAACATCGTATTCAAATAAAATCGGAATAATTTTACATACACCTAGAACTATTTTCCAAATAGATACTGGTATCCAAGAATGAATAACTAGTTTGGACTATATCTTATTTTCCATAAGAAATTTGACAACACCACCTCTTCAGTGATTTGTTTCTAGAATGATATGAACTTTGATTTTAAAGAAGAACCACATACTTCCATTCAATGGGAAACAAAAATTTAGGAAAATATTGACATCATAAAATATGATCGCCAGTTTCTATCCAAGTTGTGACGAAATACCATTGGTTATCAGAAATGACAATTTCTACATTAAATTTTAGTGATATGTGTAGCAATTAGAAAATCGACTGTTAAAAATATTAATTCACAATCGTACTAGAAACATTTAACTAATACAAAATGCTTAGATTGATAGTTTTTCTTTGGATACGACTAGTAAGTCAAATAGAAAGTTATGTGTAATAATTAACTTCTGCAAGGTGTCACCTTGTAGTAGTATTTTCTAGTTATGATGAAATGATTTAAGTTAGCATGCATAAAAATTCAATCGCTTTTTTTAAAAAAATTCTACATACTTTTCTTTCCAGGGTCTTTTGAGATTGAAAGGAGAAAAGGTAAGTGATTATACTTTGGATATGAAAAACTGTCACTCTAAATTAAATCTAGTTGAAGACATATAGATCCACATACAGTTTGACAGAAGGATGTTGTGACGATATCAATCGTTTTTCATCTGCTTAATAATCGTACTGGTGATTATAAAAACAATCACAGTCAAAATAGGCTAACAAACTCAAGAATTGATTTACATGAGGGCGTAAGCATAACCTTGAAAATAGAACTCTAGCCACATAGTTTATCGATCGTCAAATCCACCACAGAAAAACTGACCAATTGGGAAGAAATACATGAATGGAAAGTTGACCTTATCATTAAGTGGTCCACCAATCAAATCAACTGGAAAATCTATCGAACGCACTCATTTGCAAGGCTTCATAATTTTCACCCAACCGTTTAAATTGAGTCTAAGTTGACAAAACAACTGATCAGGTGATAGGGAAAACAGTCGATGCACCGGTTCATATTACTGAACGTAACTAGTTAGGGTTTTCATTGCTCATACTTTTAGAGGCTAATGCGTTTCCTCGCCTGAACAAAAAAAACCATTACACCATTTCCAGTTTGATGATATCCCTCTAAGTTTGATTAATATTGAGCAACATAAATTAATTGAAATCAAGCCAAATTATTGAGCTTTAGAGAAATCATTAGTTATGGAGTGATAGTATTAATTTGTAATGATATAAAATTGCATAAATCCCTAGATTTAATTCAGGTTTCCTATCAGTATAATAATCTCATGACTACTCTTGATTTAATTGCATTGAGTCTGATGTATTTTATGAGATACAGTGTCGAGCGAAAGCTTACAGCTTTATGTTTGAACTTGTATATTCGAAGTAAGACCATAGGAATTGTGACCTCTTCTATGTGACTGAAAGGATTGAAGTAATGTAGTAGTGTGTTTTTCAGCTATTGAGACAGGAATCCCAGCCGATATTTACAAATCAACAATCATTGCGTTATTCAAATGGGATCTAGTCTACAGTAGTTCATTGTCTCTCATTATACAAAACACGAGTGAGTAATGACAGTTGGGATTGAATAATATCAGAGGGTCAGGGATTTCTGAATAAATTTGTTTAATAAGGAAACTTAACTAATGTTGCTATCAAGTGAGAGATTTAGATGTTGAGCATTTGACATTCCTTACTACAGGTAATTTCGGTAATGAGTTTCAATATTGAAAATCTACAAAACTCCTCAGAAATATGTCATTTAGCTCTTCGGACTTTCTTTTCTAATGCGATATTTTATCTGCCGTTAATTTTACTGCGGAAAAAGCCTTGAGATAAAATTAACAAAGTTAAACATGTGAGTGAACTTGGACTACTCGAATAAATGTTGGCCGATCAGCTTCTCTGTCAAAATAAATATTAGCGATTAAAAGTATTAAATGACAGCTCGGAATTCATCCCAAGCACTTATCCATTCAAGACCCTCCCCACAGAAAACTGTTTAACTACGTCATAATATGCGATAGACTATCGCTGCTAGTAAACACTGCCAAAACGCCCGACCTTCAATTATTTAGATAATCTCAACTAACTGTAAAATGCATTTTGTAATCTATACGGATGACATCATTTTTGGTACCAATATATCTGATAAGTTCCATAAGACTTTTATCTGTTCTAAAGGGAATTGAACAGATATTATGCTCTCTATTATTATTTAAACGTTTTTTAAATTTAGGTTTTCCTTTTCACTAAGATGGTTTCATAATATTTAGACAATAAAATCCACAGTACATTTGCCAACTATATTTCAAACTATTCCATTGAGTGATGAATATTTATGAATAAGAACTTTCGTCTAAATTCGAACGAATAGTTTCACAATATTTGGGTGCCGAGTTAATGTGAGACATTAAAGAGAATGGATATATATTTGAAAAATCCCAGTGAATGAAACGTTGGATTTACTTGAAATTCATTCGCTGAAGTTTTTCAAATATGTATTCTTCCTCTTTGATGAATGTTTATGTTTTTATTGAGATATCACCCAATTTCATCACAAATTACATTTAAGTACAATGTTATTTTATCTATCGAATGTACTTGAGTTCTGCTAGTAGGTTTACTTCTTAATCAGTTAAGTTATTCAATTATTTTATTGATCAGAATTTATTACTGTTTATTATATTTTTAGGGAGATCGTGGTGATGCAGGACCTATGGTATGTAAATTAACTTTTAAAAAATATTTATTTGAGAAATAATAGTTTTTTGTGGTCACAACTTTGTTGAATAACGTAAAAACTTACTGTGTTTAAACTTTCATTAATAAATAGCCACATTTAATCAATCAATATGAATTAATATGACTGACAGTATTTTCTTAATAATTACGGGAACAGTAAAAGTTGACTGGTGTTATTCTGTTATCTTCATATTTCCTTTTTTGTAAAATAAAGGAAATATTTAACACAAAACACCGAACATGATTAAAAGTCTTTTGAAACATTCTTTGCAAATTCACTTGAAGGGTTTTGTGAAGATGGGTTTAATTTGATATCAGTCAGCAATTAAGGAAGATTGGACTAGTGTTTCGTCCTAGTGTAGAACTCTTCATCAATGCTCCACTACAACCCTCTTCAGAGATTGGACTTGAGATCAGATGATATCAAGCTGTAGAGAATACAACCTACAGCTTTTCCAAAACTATAGTATAAACATATTTCTGAGTCTCTCAATTACTAATTAAGTAATGACTTAACTATCAGCTTTTATTTTTAGCACCTATATCAGATTATCAGTTCTCACATTTTCAGCTTATTTTCGATAATAAATTCTTCAATCCCTTAGAATTTATTAGTTGTTTTCATGACTAGAACACTAAAACTTTGAGAATTATTTACTTTAAATTTAGTGTATGCAAATGAATATTTAACAATTGGTACCATATGTGTACATCTACATGACAAGTGTTACAATAAAAACAACCAAAAATACGACTATAAACCGTAATAGTATTAATCTACTTAAACAAAGTTTTCAATTTAATGTACGATTTTTAGGATATTGACATTTGTGCATTGAATCATATGAATTAAAAAATAATACATAAATTAAATTATTCTACATACATTACCAGAAAACAATGTAATGCATAACTTTTAAAACATAGAATAGGTCAAAGTTATTAAGGAATAACTGACCGTGAAAGATGTTTTTCAAAAGTATTCGAATCGACAATAGCAAATTACATCTGATTGTTGAAGATATGCAATAAAACAAAACACAACATATGATGTATCTTTCATGCTTCTTGATATCCATAACAAGAAAATCACTGTAGCCTTCCTAGAAATCGATACTTCATGGTATGTACCAGTTCAGATTGTAGTTAAAGGATTTATCACTGTAATGTTTATACCATTACAGGATAACCATTTTTTAAAGATTAATTCATGTAATTTAAGGAAATACAATAATTATCAATACGTTATTTAGAAATATAACCGGAACTATGTGTTTAAAACATTTTCAAGATTATGGTCAGTTATGAAAAATTCAGATGATAAGATGTTAACAGATAGGATTGAATAATAACAATTCTTATTAGATATTTAGTCACTGATCAAAACATCAGACACGACATTTTTCAATGCATCTGTAAAGGTTAATGAGTACATAACATAGAATTCAAAAGAAAAACTTAAATAAATCCTAAGTATATAAAAGTTAAATAAGGCTTCCTTGACGAACTTTGACTTTGTAAAACTATTTAAATACTAACAAAACTTAGGAATTATAGCAAAGGATGACTAATGACTTTCACTAAATGATTTCAGCAAGTTGTTTGCAAGGGAGATCAACGAGAGTAGTGATGACACAACCTCGTTTTTATATGGTGAAACAATGTCCCATTTATTAAACAATGGCAGCTAATGAACTCGTGAAAATAGTATGAAATTTTTAAATAAAACCATCGTTATGTACAGTCCAGTTCAGTTAAAACATTCGGTCTCGAGAATTTGTTCACCTTGATTAGAGTGTTTTTGATCAATATTGAACTAAGAAATCCCAATGCATATGCATCTATAAACAAATAGACCGACACCAACATCGATATCTCAGTGATAACCTTTGTTTATATAAATCATCCACTGACGCATCACTATCTCTCTCACGTTTACCTACAACTTACTATTCAACCTTAAAACACTATATAACTCTACTGTTATGGTCAGAACACTAAAAACAGTTGATAAGTTCGTTGATACCAATGCCTATCACAAAACATTTCACTTTTTAAAATAACGAGAATAATATCTACAATTAATCTTCTGAGTTAATTAAGAAGTAACATGACTATGGTAAAATAGACAAATTAGTGATGAGAGCTACAAACCTAACTGTATCACTGAAAAAGTTCACAGATTAAACTTGAATCAATAAATAATTTATAGCATTTTCAGTAATCTAACATGTAATCAACATAATTTCGGTATTGAAATGTGTTTGATATAAAAATATTGTAAAATATTAAAATACAATCTACTGTATCCGAAGATTTTGACTAAGTTACACTTTTTGAATTGTTTTTGATAGCCTTACATAAAAACGTATCTTGAATACTATTAAGTTTAATACAAATAATAAGGCTTTTAAGTACAGCATTAAATCAAAAGGATTTACCAATAGGAAATAATCAAAATGGATGTCGGTCAATCGGTTTGTAGGTTAAACATTCTTGAGGGGTTGGACTCTTGGGAACGAGGTTTGGATGCTCATTTCTGGTGAGTTTCATACTAAGGCAAAACGGCTATCCAGGGCCTCCAGGTTTTCTATGGTTTTCTAGTTTAGATTGGTTCACGATTTCAATGAAAATGTTCAAAAGTGAGAACAATCTATTTTCAAGTCTTTTACCAATTTACTTATTGATCAATGCTACTGTTGATTTTTGCAATGGCTTATCACAGTAACTAGTATTCACATCAAAATAGAGTCAGTAGGGCTCATGATCCATTTGGGTAAAATCTTATTGCATCTCTAATGAAATGTTTTTGGAATAAGTCATTATACTTAGAATTTGTTTAAAATTTGAAGAACCATGCTGAGAAACATGGCCGTAACTTCTAAAAATCAAAAATGTAAAAAGAAAACCTAATTTTAAAGTTAAAAAAGCATCACTTAGTAGTATATATATATATATATATATATATATATATATATATATATAATTCAAACAAACAATACTCGTGACTTTATTATGATGACATCCATCCTATTTCATTTTAGTACTGATTTCACAAAATACACCAAGTAATTTGACTGATTGTCATAACCAAAGATAATTTGTTAATTTATTATTTCTAAAATCCTTCTTTTGTAAAAATGCTGATAATCAAAGTAACACATCTGCTGATCAGATAAGAAATTGTTAGTTGATTTTCCTAATGAAACATAAAGTTGTATGGTTACTAATCATGACTTCTGTTTACACACATAGGTAGTCAATAGACTGGACACAATAGTAATATTATATAAAAAGATTATTATTGATTATTGTTAGTTTATTAGGTTCTTCCATTGCATTCTTTAAAATATTCATTAGATCCTAATGTTAGGTAATTAGTGATAGTCGGAAGGAAATTTTGTGTGTAGATTCCGTGTTAGCTGACACTTGTCACCGAGGCATATGTGGGATATTGAAGGAATTGTTGCTAGATCTGGGTTTAATACGTAAATCACCTAGTGCAGCAACCTGAGATGTTGCCATAAAACGTTTTGGTTGAGAAATTGATCACTGCGCAGTAACTGATTTACCGACTGGCCACTAGTAAACAAAATTTATCCATCACTAGTAGCTAGATGAACATGACATTGTCTACCACTTGATGACTCGTAAGCCTAATTACCTATGTCCATTTTCAATTCTATTTTCTAAGACGTTGTTATTAAGTATTCATTTATTTATTAATAAATGTGATAAAGATTTATAAAAAAAATCCAGTGACTTGTCTTGTGTTCCGCAGTTACACAAGATCTACCATTACCTCTGTTCAAAATGTCTTTCTAAAGCTTGACCAAACAATATTCAGTAGTAATCGTCTCTATTACATATGACAGGAAAATATATTTGCTATTAACAATGGACATTGTTTAATGTCCAAAATTTGAATGATTATCAAGAACTTGTATTAGCTAGATGGCCATTAAAAACTAGAAAGCATTAGTCAGTCGATTTGTCTTTGCCTGGAACTCGCTTTTCATCAGTATCCATTCACTTATTCTCAATGAATCAAATTCACACTGGTCGATCATTTTGCAAGGTACTTTTACATCATTAAATCTAAAACGAACGTCCAATATATTTCCAACTTCAGTTTATTGTATTGTAGTTATTCGATGTTATCAAAGACGTCTATTTCACTCATCACATTATGTTTCCTGGTTAGCGTCTTTTTAGCAAGTTAGTTTTTTACGGGATGATGTCGCTAACCCCATCTCCAACCACCCTCCTTTGTCCGGGCTTGGGACTGGTAGTAGCCCCAGATGGGCTCAAAGCGGAGCTAAACATTACATGTCAAAGTCTAACCAGAAATTTAGACATACAACCCCAAGATTTTTTTCACTAAGTATATGTTATTTATAATAATGTAGTTTATGCAGAAAAGTTAACTAAAAAGTTTTATCTTACATTAATATTTGCTTTAAAAAGTCTTAAATTAGAACTAAACACCCCAAATTGTAGAACGACATAGTGCCAAGAAAACATCATATTTAGATTAGTAACTAATTATGTTTATTTCAATCAGTTTCAATAGTAATTTACTCTTATTTTATTGTTTTCACATGCATGACGCGTAAAGTTATCTGACTATTTGTGCTACGTAGCTTCGGAGTTGGTGGAACAGTGTTTTTTTTTATTTAAACTATAAAAACGGAAGCTCACAAATGTCTTGTCATTTGGCCTTGTTCACTGAAATAATTTCACACAAGTTTTCTTCAAATAACTGTGTGATCAACAAATAATATGCTGAAGGACATTTTCAATATTAACTCACATCTGTAGGTATCATTACCAAGGTTTGACTTGATAATTTCAAATAAATTGAGCATTGAGCAGATTGTTATAAATAAAAATAATATATCTGTAATATCCCAGTGAGTAGAAAAATTAGATTTCCTGACGTTTCATGACTCAGTGTAAGCCAGTTTACTGGAGAATAAATGAACAGTTTAATTTGGTATGACTTACACTTACAAATATAATCTTTTTATTTATAAACTTATATCGACTGAAAAACCATTAAAAAATGGGAACACTACAAAACTGCTTCATCCCTTCCAAGGTTTACCTATATCCTCTCACACTAAATTAAATTTTGTACCTTCAAATCTTACAGTGAACAAAATACCTTAAAACATGTAAGAATTTAGTGGCTTAATAGTTGATTTATAATGAAAATGATTTTCAAATTTAACTAGAACATTAATGAAACCTAGCAAAAACAGTATGTTGTTTCTCTACAACTTCAATGAACAAAATAGCTGACATATCATTTGTTTTCTCTTTATGAACAATCAAGAGGTTGATATTTAGTTGGTAGTTTTGTAAATTAGATACGTTGAAAGCGTGCAATAATTGTACATCGTCGCAGATAAATGATAATCTGCAGTTTTTCCTTATCTGATTTTTACCAATTAAAACAATACCATACACAGGATATATTTTCCAGTTGCTCGTTTTTACGTCTGTAAACAAGTTTGCTTTTGATTTTATTCATTTTTCTCGTTTCCTTATCATAAAAAGGGACCTGAAGGACCCCCTGGAACCTGTCCTGCAACTTGTGGATCGAATCTATCGACTGTTATACAAGTAAACAAAGAATTTTCTATATATGTGTTATTTCTAGTTCATGAGTTATTATCAATTCATCTGTTTAAAAATAGTCTTGGTTGATAGTGAAAATTTATATGTAGATGGCCAATGAAGTTGAAATAAAATTCAGGTAACAGTTACACTTAAATCAAAAGCTTCTACACTACTTGTCCAGTACACTATTATCCAAAGTTGGATGACTAACAGTTAACCAGATTTGAATCTCTTCGTCATGTAACAGACTAGTTATTCAGAATGTGTTAGTTTAAACCCCACCTTCATTCAACTAGAACCATCATCCTTGTGTAAGAACAAAATTATTTTTTGAAAAAACTTTTAAACAGCTAAATGATTGAAAAGAAATATTATACTTCTTTCCCTGTAAATAGCCCGTATTAAAGACAAGTAGTCTGTATGTAAATGGAGTATTTTCATTAAAGATTGGTCCAATGTATTTTTGATTTATTTCATCTTTTACATTTTAAAATCATCAAATGATGGGATAGAACATATTTGAATTAACGCTAATTTTATAAAGACTACCAGCTGTATATACAATTTTGTTTTGAAACAAAATCATTTGTTCACTTTTAAATTACAAAAAGATTATCGTCTTTTCTTCACAAGTATTTACTTGTTCCACCAGATACTTATTAGTGATAATAATAAACATTAGATCCAAATGTTTCACCTGTTCAGTGATGAGGTTTTATTATAAATCTAAAGCATAGTCCCAAACGACCTTAAAGTATAAGTATCTACAGCCAATCAGAAGGCGTCAACGATAATCCGATGAATTGTTATACGAAGAATTGTGATTAAAATGTTATTAGGATTTCTGCATTATAGCTTATGTCAGTTTGTTATTGAAACTGTAACCCCAGTCTCTGATTCTAACTCGTAACTCTAATTCCTACCCTAATTCAATATAAATGCCATAACTTTTTTCGTTCGACAGTATGATTTAGCTCTATCTTCATATATCCCACTTCATCAATTTTATCACAGTGATTGTTATACAATTCAAACTATTACCGTACCTATGATATTATTTTGTTAGTGAACTATGTTTGCAAATTATTTAATGATAACAATCGAAGAGTTGGTAAATTTTTACGTACTAAAAACTCACGCTTAGGATTTAACTGAATTTTACAAAATATTCTTGATGTTCATTTATTTTTTTATTACAAACAACTCAAATCACTGCTAAATTTATTTGTCCATTCATAAACTCTATTTTGTTTTAATTTACCATTTTTTTCCAAAACGTATAAACTATTGTACTCAGTAAATTTAATACTTCCTTTTTTCATCGTTTTCCGTAGTTTATTTCCATATCTTTTCATAAATTTATAGGGACCTAAAGGTGATCCCGGTCCTCCTGGAGTTTGTACCATTGATCAATGCAAAGAAGCTGCAATTCTCGGACCTCAAGGACCTCCAGGAGAAAAGGTAACTGAAATATATATAGATACATATACATTTTTATATAGTGTAATTTCAATTTCCGATAGAAAATTCTAATGCTTAGAGAATCATATAAAATACAAAAACCTGAGTTAACATTTTTTTCAGAATTTTCATCTACTTCACAATTTGAATATTCATCTAATGAATATGTGAATTTTTATAACTTAAAAAGTGATATCAGTTATCTGTATTGATGACTGTAATGAAATAAATGTTTTTTTCTATGTTAATGGGATTTATGTTTCAGTATTGAATGAGTTGGCATTTTAAAATAGAATATAAACCACTTTTTGTAGGAACTTTCATACTAAATAGCACATGAAGACAATTTCAAGAAGAGAGAAAACAGATACTCACCATGATAACTCGGATTAAATTTCATTACATTAGTTTTCTTTTAATAAACCTGATAATTTCCTTATATTGATCTCTGTTGTTGAATTTGGGCTACATGTGTAAAATACCTGACATTTTGATTAGATCATATCTGATGGTTGGTAGTGATTAAATTTCGAATGAGAGCTTTAATCAGTTTAGACTTTGTCAATGTTGTGTAAATGGTTAAATGATCATCTGCTATGGCACAGAATTAGTATAGTCTTTGTTTTTCAAAGAAATAGCTTCTCGCTGTTTACTTTTGTAAAGCTGAACAGTCAAGTCTCCATCGATATTATTACGTTTAATGTGTGGATGTCTCAATATGTGGAAACATAAGGTAAGTATACGATTTTGATTTTTCTTACATTCCCATCACAAAGAAAATCGATCACCATTGTAACTGCATCTTCGCTGAAAAAAATAAAAATTTATACCTCAGTGATTTAGTCACTGGCCTTATATGTTCAAGGTCATAGAATTGATCCACTCTACTTGTCGTTGTCGGATTATACAATCATGCACAGTGTATTTTACTGTTAAGCTAATGGGATTTAAATTCTGCTGATTGCTCCAAGTGATTAACGTTATTAGTTTAATTAAAGAACACAACTTAATTTGTAGTTCCTTTGTTTTTATTAACATCTTTGTATATTAGCATAAATCAACACTTAGTTGATATATTGTTCATATCAAGAGAACTAATTAATAATCGTTTCTCACTCATATATCAATACATGTATACATACATATAAGCTAATTTATAAATTTTTTTATTGAAAAGGGAGAAAAAGGTGATCCAGGAGAAGTAGATCTTACAAATGATCAGTCGATTTCAGTTATTAAACAAGCCATTCACGATTTTATATTACAACCAGTAAGTAACTTTTTTTGATATTGGAAGTTTTTTTCTAGATTATTCCAAAATATTTAATAAGTGGTTTTAGGGACTTATTTAATATTTTGATCTTATCTACTTAATCACTTGCATTTTAATTCAGCTCATTGGAACAGAGAGTAATAGGAATCTAAACGTTACCTATGTATATATCGAAACCATAGATAGTTCTAGTGTACATGTGTAGAAGCACATGCATTTATATACTACTTAAACAAAAATCTCTTAGTATATTCCATTTATCCAATTGAACAGTTTTATACGAGCATATGCGTACAAAGATTGACTACATATTAGTCAGTTGGTTTGTCTGATAGTTTTGTATCATTGAACAAACATTTGAAGTCTATTTTTAAAGGTGAATCCTTCTAACAATTAACCTAATAATTATTTAAATGATTGGTACTCCTTAAATATATATATGTAAAGTTTGACACAAGTAAGCAACTGTTTACCGTTTAAATCTGAACATGTTAATATGTGATGTTTCCTACAATTATACTGATATCAACTGTGATACCTGTGAAAATTAAGTCACTCTAAAATGTTTCTATCTGCCTGACCGTTTTGATTCTTGCAATTTAACAAACTATTGTTTATGTACAAATGAGAAAGATATATGATAATCGGTCTATATATCATCTCAACACTTTACAATGAAATCCAAAAATGTTCATTTAACTAATCTATACAACGCAGTATGGTCAAAGTACAAATTTTATCATCAAATATATTGATATGATTTAGTGAACTCACGTTAAAATATCTAGCTTAAAGTGAAATATCTTGTTCCAGGACATGTTTTCTACGAAAAAACTGAAAAATAAATCGCATATGGTTTTTAGAACTCACAAATTTGAATAAAGTAAAAACAATGGTTGTAGCAAAATAATGTGAACTGGTCTATTTCTTGAGTTCTCTTCAGCTGCTTATAACCTAAAGACAATATTAACCGTTATTTAAAACCGGTGTCCATCCTTCATATCGTATTGATGACACTTAGCAGAAAAGTAATAAATTTCAAAGAATTTTTAAAATGTTCTGACGGTTGAATTCATTTGAAGATTCTAGAAGAAAATTTTCTTTAACAAGTATAAATATGATTCTAGAAAATGAGGATCGATATCAAAACTTCCATAGAAATATACGTAAAATGACTTGATTAACAGAATGAACTGAATAAACTTCAAAAAATAATTCAAGAATAAAGAAAAGGAACTTCATGATTGAATGCATAGATTAAGATACTACGCCATTAAATGCTGAAAATCGAAATCATTATACAAGGGCAAGATAGATAATTGTATGCTTTTGACTGGACAAGTTCGCTTCCGACGTTCAGGTAGTGATAGCTACGAAAAAAGTACTACCGTTGAAATCTGTGCGCATCCACGATCGTGCATGCGGGCCCCGAACTTTGGACCTTCGGTCGCCCGCGCGAATGTTTAACCTATAGACCACTAAGCCGGTATCCAATTATGTTGATGTCCAACTTCAGTCAATCCACAATCTTAATCTGTTTCTTACTTAACATGGACTGGACTCCATCGGTCACGGCTTTTCACTAAAACTCCAGGAGCTACATCTTAAAGTTAGTCGTTAGTGTCTAGTCCTTCCAGGTTTTCAATAGTGATCTTATTTATTTACTCAAACACATAAACATCAGTACAAGGAGACATCTAGTATATTTGTGCGATACTTCATCACTTGATTTATGTGAGGGCTGGGATACTGCCTAGGCACCCAGACTGCAACAGGTGGTTTTCTTAGGTAGCCACTCCCCGAGACTTTGACCTAGAGGTCTAATCCACAAGTCATTGGAACAACGTTAGGAGATGCATATGTGTTCACAAAACCTGACAACCAAATTTTCTATAAATAATCTCATACATTTTATGATATATGTGGTATAAGGCTAATAGCGGAACCCATGAAACTTGTTACATTCTGTCTAAAATTAATAACGTTGGTGTTCACACTCAGACTTGGACATAGTATTTTTCGACTCAAAAACTCATTACATTATCCTTTGAGATACTAAGTCTGGACATCCACTAATACATCCAATACTAATGAAAGTCCTTAATTACCCTCTGCACTGTTGATATTCAAAACTGCAATTAATTAGTTTTCATTACCATATATGCATTTTTAAGTAGATTGCCCAAATAAACATATGACTTATAACTCATAATTTTCCTTTTATTTCTTTATTTTATTTATCTTTTCATGTTACCTCTTTCACTATTGAATTGTCTTTCTTTCTCTGTTCTTTTCAAAAAGGAAATTCAAAACAATTTCGTGGTCCAAAAGGTGATCCAGGTGAATGTTCATGTTTAAGTGATGCAGCAGATAATTCTTCACCGAAAAAATATTCAAATAATGAATTAAATAATTCAAAAAACAATCATAATACTAATAGTAATAATAATGGTGAAATTTCAGGTTATGGTGTAAGTTATAGTTTGTTTTATTGATTTTATTATTTATAATTATTCTTAAGAATACTTCCATTCATTAAATATGGATAATTATCTTTGGTATTTACACTAAAATATACGTGTATAACAATGATAAATGGAATTAAAATAAAATATGAATAATATAAGAAGAAATTAGCTGTCAATCCGTTGGTGAATGACATAATGTTCAATTGATTGAGTAATGAATCTTGCTTGATCGCTTGAAATTTTTGTTAGTCGACTAGAATTGGTAAATTCTTATGAATAATTTAAGACAGATATTGATGAATTGATAATTAGTTATATAAAATTGTACGTTAGATAAGTTAATAAAACATCTACTGCCTAAAATAGGAAATAAACACGTTTTCTATATGTTGAATTTTCATGATAAAGTATATACTTCAATAGAAGATCAACCATATAGATTGAACAGAATAAAATGTTTCACATTCTAAATCTTCGTATTTTAAAGTAACAATAACAATGAAAAATTAATAGAATTATTCATCAAAATATCATCTGAAGTAATCTTTACTTAAAATTTAATAGTTGCCATCAGATAAATTACAAAAAATGTTTATTTAAAACGTTATTCAAAAATCCACAAAAATTATATTGAAATGTGAGAACTGCTGGAATTAACCACAACTGACAGTTATATCTATGGTACTGACTGTCTGCAAAATCTGTGTGTTTAAAACAAATGGAAATGGGCATATCTTTATGAAACTTGTCTTCATAGGTGATAAAATTGTTGGGAAGATGAATATTTTAGATTGAAGGCTACAATATAAACGATGGGTCGAGCGGTCAAATTAACATATAAGCACCATCACATTGATCGATTTTCATGCTGGATTTTATTCTTTTGATCCTGTCATATTACATTCCTCGCCTAAAAATAAATCAGGCTGAAGGCGTTGGAATAGATGCACATGACATTTCGTTTGAATTATATTCTCTATGTTCAGTTTCACAGTATTATTATCACCATCATTTCAACATCCTTTCTTTTAATCTTGTTAATTTGTCTTCATTATATTGACATACTGAACAGTAAGTTAGTCTGATGATTATCTTCTCCAGATTATACTATGTTCATGCCTGAGAAGCTATCATTCATAACTCGTAGCGATGACATTTCCAGTGGTACTGTTGATAGATGAAATCTGAACAGTTTCTAATTATTATTACCTATTAAAATTGTCTCTTACTAATTATATTAAGTTTATCGACTATTTTTGTTATTTTGACCTTAAAATTACTTAGTTACAAGTTGAATAGTTTAACAATATTATCTCTGGTTGTCTCACTTCATGTCAAACACAAAATACTTACACGACAACATTGTTTTACCTGGATTATTGATAAAACTACCTTTTCATTAGATAAATACCATTACATTCGGTAATGAATACAATCAATAGTTTCTTATCCGAAACATTGAGAAGATTACCTGTATATATAAAGGAATGACAATTGTTTATTTATTTATGGGTATACTTTTAATTCTCTAGAGGATAAATTATCTGATATCATTTTAATAATCAAAATAATCATTATTACTATTCAACAATCTATTTTTATTTAAATTTTCATGATAACAAGGCAATGGTCTTGAATACTGAAATGGATTTAAGCAAAGTATCACATACTTTTCCTGTTGGTACAATGGCTTATATTAAAGAAGCAGATACATTCTACTTAAAAACAATAGAACAAACTAATACATGGCGTATTATAAATTTGGCAAGTTTATTTATTTGATTCGAAAATTTAAGTGTATACATTTTAGACTGCATGAATGTTAACTATTACCATTATTATTTATAAAACCTATTAATTACTGTAATTTAACAATTCATTCCAAGTTTTATTAATGATATTAAAAAAAAGAAATACGAATTGTACTAATCACTTGAATGTCTTAAAAGAAAACAAAAAATAAACATCACTGGTTAAATTCATGAGTCATTTGAAGCTAGACCACCATGGAAAACCTGGAAGCACTCGACGGCCGTTTCGTCCTAGTGTGGGACTCCTCATGATTTCAACCAGTGAATTTTCTAAAATCTTCACAAAACCCATTCTGATAAAAAAGAAACGGTCAAACAATTCTACCATTCAGTTTTAACGATAAGTAGTCTGTGCTTTGAACAATCATTTATATAATAAAAAGCATATTTTTGTTATATCCCAATGAGTAGGAAAGTTATATTTCTGATGTTTCGTAACTTAATATAAGCCACGTCTTCAGAGTAAATATAACAATAATATATTTATTACTAACTTTCTATCAAATACTTAATTTATTTGAAATTAACAAGTCCAACCTCAACATTGATACTTGTGTGATTCTTTGAATTTTCTTATAAATTACAATTTTATAATATTGTAGTTGGGATAATGATAATGTTTATTGAGAAAATTATTCTTGTCATCTAATTGAAAATATGTCATCTGTTAATCAGTCTATTGTTTTATTACTTCCTTAACCATTTATGTACGTTGTTGTTATCATATTATATCAGTAAATCTCATCGGTACTACTATCCACTATAATTTCAAGTACTATATAAGTATTTATGGAAGAAACATATTGAGTGAATATTTTTTTAAAATTATCTTTGCATTATACTTCGTTCTGACTGAATTTGACATAAGATTATTTTTACCAAACGCCCAATAAGTAACCTTATGAAAGTTACCTAATTGGTTGACCAAATTTATTTATTAGCTAACGGACTACTACTTGTCTCTGCAATCTTACTCACACTAATATAGGTTGTAACATAGTGGTTATTTTGGTTGTTTGATTGAAAACTGGTAAAATCTTATAACAATATTATTTACTGAGTCACAAAACCGGCCTAAAGAAAAAGTTAATATACTATGATTTCAATGAGTGTATTGACTACTAAATAACTTTGAAGAATTACTTATCGATACACTTTACTTTAATTATTAGCTCTCCATAAATTTTAAACTTAAGTAGTATTGATAAGGATATATGTTAATCTACAAAGACCATTTGATTTCATTTACCGATTCTATGGAAAATACCTAAACTGACAAAGTAGTCAATACACCAAGTAGCTGAATTTCCAGACAAAATATCAAAAAGCCAGGAGACTACTCAAAAGTACCTTCATCATTTTGGATCAAAACTCAGAAAAATATGTTATAGCTCTGTACAGAGTAATCACTTTATATATTAGATGGTTGAAGATAGTACACACACAAAGTGAATAGCAAGATTTTCCGATACAACACAAATCAAATCACACTTGACGGAGAAGCTTTGGAGGATGTAAAAGCCTTTACATATCTTATCAGCATCATTGTTGAACACAGTGAACATGGTGCAGATGTGAAGGTACGAATCGGCAAATCAATTGAAGAACATCTGGAACTCAAAACAACTTTCAACCAACACCAAAGTCAGAATTTTCAATACAAATGTCAAGACAGTCCTGCTGTATGGGACGGAAACTTGGAAATCTACGAAAACCATCATCCAGAAGATACAAGTGTTTATTACAGTTGTCTGAGCAAAATATTTTTGATCCGTTGGCCAGAACTATCAGCAACAACCTACTGTGAGGAAGAACAAACCAGATTCCAAAGGGAGAAGAAATCAGGAAGAAGCACTGGAAGTGGGTGAGACACGCATTGAAGAAAGCACCCAACTGCGTCACAAGGCAAGCCCTCACTTGGAATCCTCAAGGCCGAAAGAGGTGAGGAAGACCAAAGAACACATTACGCCAAGAAATGGAGACAGACATGAGAAGAATGAACAAATATTGGATAGAACTAGGAAGGAAGGCCCGGGGTAGAGTGAGTTGGGGAATGTTGGTCGGTGACCTACACTACACTGGGAGTAACAGGTATAAGTAGGTTGAAAATAGTCGAAGATACTATGCTCGACCCACATTTCATGCTGATTGGTACTCGTTATCAAGGTATACCTGGAACCTTGAGGGAGCTGATGTTTACTGTAAGATTTAAACCTGGGTCATTCATCTTTACGGTTGTAGAAATTGCCGACGAGTCATTTGAGCCGCGTCTGAACTCCTTTGTAATAATGAAGTGTTTACAACCAGATCAATAGGATTCAGTCAGCATCAATGAACCAGACAAACATGATATAGGTCACTACTCAGGGATCAATTAATTGTACATTTCTTTACATGAAGCTTAGTAACAAATTTTTAATTAATTGATCATAATTAATGAAAGATAAGAGATGTTTCAACAATTTATGAGCTAAAAGATAATTTACATTTAGGACTGTACACAAATATCACAAAACATATATTTTTGCAGTAAGAAAATATAAGCTTCCAATATAATTCACTGTTAATATACTTTTTATCCAAAAAAAATAATGTATGCCTGGTTAGAATCTCAAAGCATTGGTAACATCTCTTACCGTTTCAATTACTTGTAACTGATGATCATCGATCTACTCAAAATTTAAGCCATTGTGCTTCTTTATGCATGATTACTTTAGAGCAGCTATGAAAGATTAACATTTATTCGTTATCTTAAGAGGGTATAAAAAAAGTTAGTCAAATAATCCCAGATAATAATCGTGGTTTAGTCTATGTTGGATAAATAAAATGAAAAAGCTTTTATAGTCTTATTTTGCTCCATTCCTTAAATGTTATTCTCACTGAATAAATTAAATCAAATTTTAACAATAAAAATATGTATTTGTATGGCTTTTTCATTTTAATTTTCTCTTTTCTAGCTGTCGAAAGCAGATGCAATTAATTTACCAATTCCAAAACCAGTAAGTTATCGATGAATATTATATTTCATAATAATTTATATATTCTGAAAATAATAATTACAGAATTCACGCCAGTTTACAGGCATGATCAATTTGATATAAATAGTAACATTAGATGTACAGAACAAACATGTGATAGAAGAAAGTTTTAAGTATACTAGTTCAGTAATTGCTTAGGTAGTACATGTATTACAGCGATCCAATACATCAGCCGAGAATTTTTAATATTTCTTAAATGGATAGCCTGTTGATTTATGAACGGTGTAATTAAGTTCATTTCGTGTGCCAGATCGAATTAATGATAATTATCTACAACTAGAGAAATTAAAACGAAAACAGAGAGCACGGAACAACAAAGCAGTAATTACCAAAATATATCAATCAGGTCTACCAAAATGCGTGTATCATGTGACACAGTGATATACTGTTGATATTATTCAAATTAGTTAAACTAGCTGGGGATGGTGTTAACATAAAGTGACAGCAAGTAGGTGACTGAGTTAAATCTGACTTCATAATGTGTGATTATTTTTCTTTTACTGAAACTAAAGAATTACATTTCAGCAAATGATGGTCCTTTTCCAATTCAAATAAGAAATATGATAGTAAAGTCTGGAAAGTTTTGTAACCTAAGCAACGAATGTTAATCATCTAAATTAAATCAGTTTGCATGATATAGTATCTTGGATATTTTTAAAAGTTATAGATTATACTTAAAATACTCGTTCAAATAGACGCGCTTATTAGTTAATATCAACTAATTATATGACATGCTTGATTTAAGTCTTGTTACCAGTTCAGAAATCATACAAAGACTAGTTCAGACAAAGTGAGTGCATACAACCACCTCTCTCCATTGTATAATTCCAAAAGTTGTTTTAAGTAGAGTAGTCCAATCTCAACATTCCTCTTCAATTTTGCTATCGATTAAATTCCTAAAACAGGAATAATGAAGTAGGTAATGGTGATGAAGGTAGATTTTTTAATCCCGAGAATGTGTATGCTATTGCGTTCCTGTGTAGTGACACTCAAACTAAGCGAATCCCGCACAATTGGTTGGGAATCAATGTCCGTTGACATGTCATGTACTGTGCATTTTTTAAATGCATATGCCTACACTCACTCTTTGTAACGAGCTATCGAAAGTAATCGAAATTTCATGTGTCTGAAAAGTCTTTTGAGCGTTGGCTTTACCCTGACTAATGAGATCAATTTACGTATAGTGAAAGCCTGAATTTCTTATGGAATCTTTAGTGCTGTAATGATGTTAGCCTGGGTGAAAAAGATTGAATTCACGACTCTGAAAGCAGTTCTGCACTATGTTTGTCTCTGAGTTGACGGTGTGTGGCGACTGTCTATGTTTGATCAACGTTAACTCTGAGGGATTACTAATATTCAACAGCAACATCATGTTAGTAATGCTGAGGAATGACGTTGTGCGTTCGGGCTCAGTGATCATAATTCGACTGGTTTCATTATCTTAAAACACAAATTTCCTCAGTTTGTACATATTTCACAAATTTCGTCCCAAAGACCTCAATATTAATTTCCGAGTCTAGGACGGGTTTGAAAAAGAGACGTGTTCAGTTTATGATATGGCTGTGGTATTAAGGAGAGCTGTATAGGGCTGCTCTTTGCCAGCCCATCACAGATCATTGGCTGGGATCCTTCAAATGATCCAGCTCAGCGGCTTGAGACGTTATTAGATATGGCTCAGAACAGTAGATAATGGTGGTCTTACTGTATGGTTTTAAATTATTAATTTTAAAAATGAAAGGAACTCACTTATCTGAAAGAATTCTCTTTGGCTGTATTTTATCTGAACTGTTTCTCCTATCTACACTGCCCTCGTGAACTCATTTTTATTAACTTTTCTGCTTTCGACTATACTTTTTTCTCTATCTCTTCACAATTCCATTTAATTTGTGGGACATATTTATTTCGTACTAGTTTTTATATGTATTCAATAAATAAAAAAAGATGGTTGGTTATGATGGGATTTGGATAGAAAGTTAATAAAATTACGATGGATAGATGATCTTAAAGTGATTAGTGAAATGTCACAGGTTAGACATTAGTTTACTCACCTCAATACAAGTTATTTGTATTGGTGAAGCCAGCCTATATGGAGAACCTTAAGATACACCATAAACACTCTTGACTATACCCCATGTCATACGAACTATACTCAACAAGTAATTTACATCCCAGTTACGATCTGGATCAGAAGGTTCAAGTGTTTTGACGTGAGTTACGTCAGAACATTTGGAAATCTTGACAACAGTCATCGAAGGTTCAAGTGTTTTTTGTAACTATAGTTTGACACCATCTCATATTATACGGTTGCACAAAAGACTTATGATTATCGATTTTAAGTGCCTTAAGAACTGGATAAAAGTTAATTTTATTAGACTCATTATAAGATATCAGTTAACTGAAATTACATTTGAAATTCTCACAAAAATCAAAGAGTAGCTATCTTAGACCTAATTAGTTCGTTGCTCACATTTATCATTTGAGGCTATTATGGGACGAAATCTTATTTGAATGAACATTAAGATGAATACATTCCAATTTTAGTTTTAATATGTTGATCCATTTAATAGAAATTCAAGAACATAATTAAAAAGTCAATCCAGTGTTTTTATTTGTCAACCAACCGATTACATTTCATCTCCGTTTCAACACTTTATCTTATCATGCTGAGCTATCCTCTCCCAATGATAATTTCCCTATCTATTTTTTGATGAATACTTAAGCCATTAACAATCAAACGATTATTAAACTTCCCTTGTTTTAAAAGTTTCTTTAATACTTTTATTTATTTAATCTCACTGTCACCATGTATAACAAGTTTATTATCAGCATTATTATCATCCTGTAAAAATAAGTAAATATATTTGTGATTGTATAGCTTTGAAAATGAATTCGCCGGAAATAGAACTCTTCGCTGAACTAATCTTTCTTATTTAATGTCTTAATGGGTGTATTCCGTTTATCAATAAGAAACTGTCTGAATCTTTTATTGTGTTTTATTTTTTAAAATAAATAAGTTAGCTTAACAAAAATAATAAAAAAAAAGTGGATAACGCGATGGCCTTTGAAGCGAACGGTACTGAGTTCGAGTCCCAGAGTGAACATCAACTCTGAGATGCAGGTACATCCAGCTGACGAGTCCCAAACGGGAGGAAACGCGCGTCCTGGATTCCACTGCTAGCCACTATCCATCTTTGCTTATAATGCTTGTAAATTAAGGCAATATCGAGGCATACGCACAGTATGCACATATGCCAATAGGAGACTGATCAATTTCAGTCCTGAAACATCAATGGGAAGATTCAAGTAAAACAATATCAAGTGAATTAAAAAATAAAATAGTTTATTGAATTTGAATGTAATTGGTATTAAATGTACATTACTGTAACTAAAATTCTGTGTAGGTGAGGGATCACATTGATTAGTTTAAATGTTAAAATTCCTATTTTCAATTTGTGATTTTAAAGAATTAGCATCAAGTCATCTGAAACTTGTTGATTAACCGATCAATCATTAATTTTGTATATTGGAAATAGTGTCGCTTAATGGACAATTTGATACTAACTAATGTACATTTATTTATTATGTTCAAAGTAGGAAAGGAACGGAATCCCCCATTCTGATAATAATGATAATAATAAATTCTGAAAACAAAAACTACAGAATTCATGTCAGTTTACAGACATGATGAACTTGATATAGATAGTAATCTTAAATATAGAAGACAAGTGAGATATTAGATTGTTTAAAGTGTTCTAGTTCAAAATTTGTTTAGACAGTACATTTTTCACACATTATGCAACTCATAAGACGTTGGGACTTGAAGTTCCATTTCGATATCCATTCTGTGAAGGATAAATTGCGGATGTACCTAAATCCTTAGTCCATTATCGTATGTAGCTTAGATAACACCTTACCATCTGTAGTAAGATCTAAGTTAAATGAAGTATTAACGAAGCATATCCATCAAAATTCTGTCGTGTTAAGCTCCTATTGCCATTTTGAGCACTACTCTGCTGCCTTGTTGAGGTACATACTGATAAGATTTCGCATATTGTTCAGCTTATGAGGAGAAAATGAATACACTACTTTAAAACCATCTGCATATAAAAGAGACCTACCCATACAGAAGCGATCTGAAATATCATTTATATAAACTAAAAAAAGCAAAGAACCTAAGACACTACCTTGTATTACACCACTTTTGACCAGGATATCGTCCGATGAGGAGGAATTAATTTGGACCATTTGGTGTCGGTGACCGAATAAAGAATTTAACCAAGCAAGTAGAGGGTTTTTGATCCCGTAAGATGAGAGTCTGACCATAAGACGCTGCTGAATAACCATGTTGGAAGCCAGGTCATGTATTGACTAGTTTTTTGTATGGAACGGTTATAAGAGGGATAGATACGGGAAGCATCAACTACTATTTTATGGTCACTGATTTCAAATTCATTATATACTTGTATAGATAGTGAGATGGTATATCTACAGAATATTAGATCAAGTATACTGTCATGCCTTGTTGGGGTACAAACCCGTCAGGACCAGTATTGCATGTTAATTGTTGCTAAGACTTCATGATTACATGACTGACCACCACTGGTATTCTAGTTTGTTCCAAGGTAATTGAAATTTCTTGCAATAACCTTCGTATTGAAATTTAGAGCAGATGCATCAGTAATAAGATCATTCACATTATCCGAATTGTCAGGGGCTCTGTATATACATTCCATGAGTAGGCTGTGATTCGGAGTGTTGACTGACATCCAGACCAATTCAAGCAAACTACTCAAGATACTGTCTTCAACTTTATTTATTTATTCGTCAACCTATTCTACAACATACATATGTTAGTAAACAGTGGCCCAGGACATTTAAGGAAATATTTCAATCTAACATAGTAGTACTGTTTTATTATTTTTTTTAAAAAGAAACCGTAGTCATTATGAAATTTTTGTCCACTGTCAAGATCCATTCATGGTGATTAGTAAATGGATAGGAATTTAAAAATCAGCTAGATAAACAACCATCCCATACTTTAATTGAATTATACTGTTTTATAATAGTTACATATCAGTATAGCTTTGTTACAACTGGTTATGAATTAAACCACTGCAATATAATTAAATTCACTTTTTACATTGAAAGTGAACATTAGTTGTTCATCACTTTTATTTGTTTTTTTTTAATTGTTGTATTTAGACACCAGCTCCTGCATTTGAACCACAATATTATCCAGTTCATAAAGGGAAAAAGGTGAGTTTCATAAATGTGTTTCACAGAAGGTGCCTGTTAAAACTTGCGGCCTTATGTCCTACTAATATATAACGTAATGATACCGCCAATTAATGAACATTGATTTATCGACCGAACCAATGACGCATAAACCCATACGAGCAGTCTAGAGTCTCTATCGATCCGTGTTCCCGCCTAGCCCAGCCTGTTAACTCCAGAACGTTAATCTCAGCCTCTGCGATTTGAATCATGTATTTCAAACATACTGGGTTTATATACAAACCAAACAGACTATATCGTACCATAAAATAGAAAATAACATCTGTACAAGATTTAGCCAAAAGTGACTGTGAGTGTGAGAGACAGTAATTAATAGACTGGCATAACTCAAGAATGGTAAATCGTATAATAATAGTGTATATGTCAAAATAAAGCTTATGATAAGAGGAACACGAATATAAATAGTTTAGTTACTTAACAATTATACAATAAAAATATATGTATATTATTAGTCCAGAAATAGATTCCAACAGTTACCATTGATTATGCTTATCGGGATATAACAGTGCCATGGGGGAGATCAATGATTATAGATTTATTAAATGTGAGAATAGTTTTTGTCATAAATGAAAAACTAGTTGGACAACTGTTTAAAGTTCGGAATTATTGGTTAGTTGTTTTGTTCTAGTGTCGAATTATTCATCAATGTTAATCCATGACTCACACAATGGATGGAATTTGTTACGCTTTGTTGTCTAAAAGCGAACATGATACTTATGGATTACTATAATGATAATTATTTTCAAATTTAATTAATTTCTATAAACCAGTCAATTAAACGACGAAAGAGATATATTAATAGAAATTAAGCTAAAAATCCAACTATATCTTGTAGACAAACTATTTAATCAGTCTACTTCCAAGTGTTGTCATTTTTTATATGCACTAACGAATGATTTTTAGGCAACAACCAATTTATTATCTTCAATGTAATTATGAAGTTAAGTTGTAGTAATCTTTTGAAAATCTTTAAAAATATGGAGCTTTAACCCTAACTATATAAATGACTCGAAAAATTGATTAATGAAACATTTTCCTGATGGTAAATTAAGTTATATGGAAGAGATATGACATTAAATCCTTGGACTAGAATACGAAGAAACTTTAAACTATGAAATCTAAAAAATAAAATACAGTTCGTGAAAATAAAATATATATATAAGTCAGATAAATATGTGTGGTATTTACTCTCATTGGTTAAAGTCCGAACTAATGTCATGATAAATCGTATACAATAACTATTAGTAAACTAAAATCTGCTCTGGTTACTGTAAACAGTTTGATACTAATGCAACTCATGTTGAATTTCGTGTGTAGTCGAAAAATATTCGAAACTCTACTAATCGTTATAAAAAGTAACAAAATAAAATTATAAACATCAATATACGGCTGTGTAGATTGTGGAGTTTTATTGACATCACGAACCGATCTAAATTAGATAAACAATGAAAAACTGGGATCACTGAATGGCTGTCTCGTCTAAGTGATGGTCTTCTTAGTAGTGCACACTTACTGTGCTTCAACCGATAATAAAAACATGAATGCTTAATCTTTAGACTACTCAGCCAGTATACAGTGGTGTACAGGAGATTAAGCATTTGCTCGTTAAACCGAAAATCCTGGGTTCGATTGCCAGTTGGGGTTTCATGTGTCCGCAGTGGTGGGGAGTCCCACACTAGGACAAAACAGCGGTTTGGTGCTCTCAGGTTTTTAGTGGTTATCCAACTTAGATGTCGATAATAATCAGAAATCAACCAGAACAAAACAATCAAATGTTAGTAAACTAAGAAAAGAAAATATTAAAAACTATAAAATCAATGATATTGATTAAACAAGCTAGTAAAATGACTTCCATGGATTAAAAGGTTCACACATGTAATATGTAAATTCATATCATGCAGAAATGGAGTGAGAAATTATTTTAATATTGAACTATTAAAACAGGAAACAACTAAAAGTTATGAATATCGGTTTATAACTTCTTAGAACTCATTAACTAGATGCCCCTGGAACATATATATATAAATTCACAAGTTGAATATTGAATATGACGTAATCGAAAGTATTCCATACTTAAAGTTCAGATTTCAAAACCAGATCTTACTTTCTTTTGAATTAAACGTTTAGATATTTTTCTTCCTAAGTTTATTACATGAATATGAAATCTGTGAATGGGTCAAGATAGAACAACTTTCATGTATAACTACTAATCATATGATCTTCAAATTAAACCATTTTTTTTACAAATTACAATGTTGGATAATTGGGAAAATTTGACAAATTTTATAAATAATATAAAATACCAACAAGGTATTGTTGGTATTAACCAGTACATTTTATAAATCCCTCTTACTATTCAAAATATCAAATATAGTCACTTAACTTAATAACCAAGTTGAAATAAAAATCAAAACTTATATCATTGATGTTACAATTCACATACTGGTTAGCGTAAAAACTATAATTTTACTTAATATATAAACATAACTAATAATTTTGACAAGAATGACACTTTATTATCTGTTATATAATGTTGTATATAATGGATGAACCAAACTTGGAATGTTGTGACAAGTTTAAATACTTCACAGGATAAATAGATCTAATTTAAACATTAATAATGTTGTCATTTATTATAGTCTATTTCTTAAAATGACCAAATGACTGTGTCACATAGACTTGTGTAAATTAAGGATTTTTAATGATAATTGTTAGTGAATTGATTTAAAGTAATCAAAATGTACCTGTTACGTTTTCTAATGATGTGCATGTATGTCAGCATTTCTATAAGCAAGTTTTTTTTGCATATGTTTGTGGATAGTTATTTGAATTATTGGTTGGTTTATCACACTTAAATCAGTTCGTTTATCTGTCAGAGCCATTGTGTGAATTGACTTCCTCAGTTGAGTTTTATTTTCATAGCTTTATCTTTTACTAAGCAGAAATTTCTTAAATGTGCCATGTGTCAACTATAAATTATCAAATGAATGTTAAGTTTATACTCTGGAAATATTTTCGATTTCTTAGTGCACTATTAAAAGTATATCTCCCAAGAACAAACTTGTCATTCTATTGTAGGAATATTATATGCTACTTGTCAGTAGTTAAAATACATTAGTAGAAGTTTCGGAAAGTGACGATGGTAATTAGAGTGATTTGTTTGTCTATTTGTTGACCATCAGACAGATCGGAATCACTTCTTTGAATAAATATTCTACTTTGATTATTAGTTCGTTTAATTGTTAAACAATCTGGATTTCACATTTAACATATTGGTGTGTACTTAAAAATCATTAAACACTAAACCGAATTTCATGAATAACTGTCCTAATATGATACATAATATGCGAATTATATTCTAATCAGAACATATGACAAGTAATTTAGATACATGATTAGAGAAGATTTATTCAATATGAGGCTAGTTTTAGCCATCGACTGATATAAGCTGAACAACCAACGAAAATCAGAGTTTAGTGAAAAAAATTATAAATTCACACACAAAATCGCACCTAGGATCACAGAATTTATCTTCAGAATACATGACGAAAACTATTACTTAACATTTTTAACTTCAAGAAATTTTTGATATGTCGTGACTAACATCCAGTACCATGATGAATATATGTTGATCTTTTGATTTGACTGAGTTCACACGTAACAGCTTCTCATCAGAACTTCCAGAATGTTCGTTTTGATTACAGCCATAAAATTATCAGTGATATATGTCGCTTGTCAGTATTTAATAATAAAACTTAGTCACAGTATGTAACAGAGACTGTCTTTTTAAATTGCTACACAATTTGCATAATGATATGATATATTCGACATTCATTATTATCTTACGAATAGTACTAATTCCTAATATCATCAACATTCGATTTGTGATCCCTGATATCTTATTTTCATCTGTCCGAACGAAGTTATCATGTTAACTTTGGAATCGACTACATATCAGTTTTGAATAACAATATGAAATTGACTGGACATTCATTCAATCGCAAAAATACAGACTAGTTACAAGTTCCTTTCTTTAGTTCTTTTCTTCTTTTGTAGAAGGTATCGGTATTAAAAAGTCAGCCTGTTGAATGTTATTTAGTTGTTTAAATTATATGCTTATTTTTGAAAGGCTGACTTCAAATTGACCTTTACTTATGTACAACTATAATTTAATCAAACTAATGAACTAATTATTATCACTAGATTTGGTAATTTTCCAGGACTTCCAGATCATTAGCTAAGTATAAACAGTCCTGTGGCTTTTAAGGTTGTATAGTGAACAGCACTGAAACTCAAAACGAGCTTTTCGTCATGGATGAGACTTGTCAGTTGGATGCACCTGCATCCCAGAGTTGATGTTCATACTGAGACTTGAACAGAGAACCTTTGATTTAAAAAATTAGTGAGGTAAATTTCACCTCATTAAAAGCAGAAACATTGCCGAAAAATTTGGCAATTCAAAAATAGTGTCTTTATCATAAGACTGGACCATCATCTAATTAATTGCATATTAAATAGGGTGTAGATAATATAATCTAATAATCATTCTTTTCAATAATCTTTTTATAACCTACAGCTTTATTTAATTGCACAAAATAAACCATTACGTGGTGATTTGAAATACAATGATCGAATAACTGGTGCACATGCTGGTTCAATTTTTGCATGTCAACGTGCAGCAAATCTTAAAGGTCTCGGAAGAGCATTCTATCCACTACTCAGTACAGATATGTTCAATATGGATTATGTTGTACCGCCAACATATAGATATGGTGTTCCTTTGGTTAATTTATATGTGAGTTAATTAAGACTGATTTTTTAATCTCATCGGTTATGTAGTGACTTTCATTTGATAACTATTTAATTGAAATAACTGAGTACTAGTTGTATCCATCATCAGTATTTGTCAGTCAGATCAAAGGGACACATAAATAATTTTATGCCTATTTGTTCATTTTCACTATATCCTGATATATTTATTAAGTAGCACCAACCTATTGGTTAGAAGAACAAGGTGTAGGTCACAAAGCATAAACAGTATAGACTAAGAAGTTTACGGAATAAAATATTTTTCAGTTGGTGTCATTTTGAGATATAAATTGTTTCTAACTTTCCAAGATTATTTGTATACATTATTAAAGACTAGATGACTGTGTTCATCCTTATTTCCAAATAAAGTACATAATACATTTTAAGATATTACTCACAAGCATATAAAATATATTTTAGCTCAGGAACACCTGAAAAATATACCTATATCTTCATGGTCAATCGTCAAAAAAGTATATCCTTTTTCAGATTATGTGATTTGGTTGGTTGCATTTGGCAAATAATATTAAATGTACGATATCTCATGCCTATTGAAAGCACTGATAAACTTCATCTGTAATATCCAAAATCATCGTTAACATGATTATTATTGATCCACTAACATATTAGTTAATCATTAATCATTTGACTACTTCCATTCTCATCCTTGATTGACCATCACTTATTTAATTAATTAATCCTAATTATGTGATCTTGTAATCACATTTCTTTTTATACTGAACCTGATGCTTAATTCATTGACTAATAAGTTAATGGCCATTTGTTCTTTCTTCTGATAATGATCCAGATAGAGATTTGTAATACAATTGTTATTTAACCATCTTATTTTAATATAGATCAATTAATAATTATTCTTAATAATTCCATAGTGGTCTAGCTTCAAATGACTCATGATCTCAACTATTAACATTACTATACTATCCACAAAACCCCTTTCTGATATGAAATAATTGTGTTTTCTATTGTGACATGTTATTACTTGACTTCATTTTATGTTTTTGCCTATTTAATAGGGTGAAATTCTCTTTGATGATTTTATGAGTCTTGTTGAAGGACGTTCAAAGCCACAAGCGAAATTATTGGATTTTGATGGTGTTGATATAACAGATGATATTGTGTAAGAGTTTGATGAGAAAATTTTATTCTTTGTTATTCAAACTATATGTTATGTGCCTTTATGAAAAGTAACATTTATATTAATTATATTACTAAAAGGAAATTGGTTGATTGATTTGTTAATCAGTGGAACGGTTTTATAAATAACTTTTGGATATATATTGACGATTATTATTATTATTATTATGAACTGAGAAAAAAAATGAATATCAGAAAACAGTAGATAACTGTTTTACCACAGGTTAGAATTATTATGAAATGAGCATACATGACAATACACGGGATCGTATACATGGTTTTTCGATTTTATGACTAAACCAGTATCCATTAATTCACATTTTCAATTTCAATCTATTTCCAACATAATCCATTATTGTTTAACTTTGTCATTGACGTACTTTTAGAGATAACACTCTCCTCCTCTAAATTTCCAAGGGTTGAACTTCTACCAGAAGATTCACTTGTTGACTTGGAATATGCCGATGATATAGTTCTATTTGGTGAAGATGCTGACAAAATACAGAGTCTTCTGACCACTCTAAGCAACAATGCAAGCATGTTCGGGATGCGATTCTCCCCTTCGAAATGCAAAATGTTACTTCAGGATTGGGTTGCATCGACGCCCGAACTAATGATAAGGAGTGAAGTAGTTGAGTGTGTCGACCGCTTCACTTATCTTGGAAGTCTCATCAGCCCTTGTGGTTTAGTGTGTGACGAAATCTCAGCACGGATACAGAAGGCTCGACTAGCTTTTGCCAACTTGCGTGATTTATGGCGTAGGCGAGATATCCGTCCATCAACCAAAGGACGTGTTTACTGTACAGCAGTTCGTTCCGTCCTACTTTATGACAGTGAAACGTGGCCAGTAAGAGTAGAGAATATTCGTAGGTTACTAGTATTTGATCATAGGTGTCTTCGAAATATTGCTCGTATATCATGGGACCATCGAGTAAGTAACACAGTTGTTAGGAAACGGGTACTAGGTAAGGATGGCAAATCGATTGATGAAGTGGTGAAACTTCATCAGTTGAGATGGCTGGGACACGTGTTACGTATGCTCAACGACCGACTGCCTCGACGTGCGATGTTCAGTGGCATAGGAGTAGGTTGGAAGAAAGTTAGGGGTGGCCAGACCAAAACATGGCACAAGTCCATGAAGTCACTGACAATTGGACTGAGTCATGTTGGTAGGTGTAGACTACCTGGTTGGGGTCCGTGAGACGATAGCAACCGATGGTTAGAGACCCTGAATGACATGGCTCAAAATCGTCTGCAATGGCGCAGATGCATACACTCTTTGTGTTCTCCCAAATTCTAATCTGATTTCTTCATGTCCCTTTCTTTTTCTCTTTCCAAATTTATTTCACTGGGTTATACTCCTTGAATAACATCTTCAAACCCTAATCTTTCCGATTACTCCTTATACTCTTAATACCTCTACGACTACGGGATTTGAATCGACAATTTCATCTCTGTGCTAGTGTGGTGTGGCAACTCGAACTGATGTACGTACGTACAAAGTTCTACGTTATTACTGACTTTATTCAATTTCATTAGTAGATGATTACACCACAATCAACCCGATTGATTCTACACATTACATCTTCTCACTAGCCCCCAAATGCCCTGGTACGGCTGAGAGTGGGGAGAGTCAGCTCTTGCTCTCGAAATGCTCTCATATGGCCACGTGTATATAGCCTCTGCCAGGGAGGTCCTACTCACTACCTTCTCGTGGCGGGGGTGTTGTTTACAAAATTGAGAGGATGAAAAGCGAATTTCCGGCTCTTCAACCGGGCCTGTGCATATGGAGAGTCCATCTAGGGGAGTTGGAAAACCCTGATTTCAAACCAATGGTGCTCATGGTCTCAGTACCCCGAGGGAACAAATGGCGTATGAACGAATCGTTGGTCACCGACTTCCATGGATCTGCATCTCCTTACGATACTCCACTACCTTGTAAACCAGACCTTTAGGTCGAAGACTCTGGGTGCGGTCATCTAAGAAAGCCACCTGCTTCGGTTCGGGCACCGAGGCAGTATCACAGCCCCCACACAAATCAAATGAAATTTGTGTGGCGCATATGTATCTGGTGTCCCCTTGTACCAGTATTTATATGTTCAAATAAAATAAAATAAATAAATTTCACCAAGGACGTCACAACCTAATCACCATTAAACATACACTTGTCATTCAGTTGGATGATTCATAAAGATTACAACTGTATTCGTTGGATTATAGGTCATTCTGACAACTTCATCATATTTTATACGGTTGTTCATTAGTCACACACGATGACTAAAAGAAGATAGGAGTGTAACATGAGTCTACCAACACTGATTTACGCTATTTCATACACATAGTTCCCTTTATCATTTACGCAAACTATTTATCATCACTTTAGTATTTAAATTACTTGATATCTCCAGTTACTAATTAAACTTATATCATGTTTTTTTGGCATAATTGACTAAGTAATTCAACACTTAATTCCACTGTATTATTTCATGCTTTCACTCATACTTTTCAACTGCAGTTAATTTTTTATATGGAGTATAATTCAATATAGACTTCATAAATTCTGATATTTTAACAAAACGATGACAGTAATGAATGTAGACATTATGAGAGAAAATTAATAATAATAAAGAACTAACCAAATTTGACTTATTTATCTATTTAAACAATTAATGCATTATGAACATGACTGATCGATACTAAATGAATAAAAAGTAGAACGTTTTAACGGAAAAAATGAACAGGAATTGTTGTCAAGTCATTTCACTGTTTTCTTAATAGAATTAGTCAATAATAAATTAATGTATGAATAGTGATATTTTTTTGAAGGGTTTCATCTAAGCAACTAACGGAATTCTTTTTAATGTACATATTTATTTATTTATTGTAAAATATACATTAACTTCACAGTGCAATGACAAAAGGGGGATTATTATGAAGAATGCGATTGAATGTATTCAGTTAGTCAGTTTGTTGTGATTATATTTCATTTTGAAACTTAAATCATTCATGATATTGATACTATTGGAAAAAAATAATAAAAGTTTACATTAAGGTATAAATCGAGAGAGTGAGAAAGAGAGATTAGATGACTAATCTAATAGATGTGAAAAATAAAGATCTGTCAGTTTATGCTTTCATTTTATTAGTGAACATGGATTCTAATGTTTTGTTATTACTGACCGAATTATACATATGGAATGCATTCAATATTACGTGTTTGGAGGAAGTCAGTAGAAAATCCTGGTTATGTGTCTCGTAGCTATTAGTTGGTAATCGTTGCCAAGAGGTATCCACATCCTTGAAGAAATGGTTTTCGCAGTAGAATTACATTCTTAAACGTTACCATTGAGCTACTGGTTTCATGACTGACCACCTGTAGGACTAAGGTGTTTACACTAGTTGAGTAGTGGTCATCGTCATGTTTGCTTAATTGTTAGTCGGCATCATAATTCGATATTATTTAATCAGTGCTAAAAACAGGATAATAGTAAAATATGTTTGCGTCATACATTACGTACATAATCAAAATTAGGTCAATTGGCAAGTGTTCACTGCAAATTCAAAAAGAATACCATGAAATTGAAAAGTAACGACAATAACATATGTTAAACTAAACTTTTCAGTCCAAATATTTATATATTCCCACCACCACTGATCAGTAACTACCTAATTAAAATCGATATTTAAATCCTATTCTGTACAAATGTAATGTTTAGTGGCCCGTGGATCTGACTCCTATTTAGATCGTACGAATGTTTGTTATCGCCTATTCTCGTATATAATCGTCGACTTAAATCACGTTAGTCAATAACGGAATTAAATAAGTCAAATGACGAGAATGGGATTTTGAATACATATATTTTGTATATGAAGCGAATGAAACAGAGCAAAGCAAAATGACACGCAGGGAAGATGGCTGGGAAGGCAACTCCATTTTAGTCAAGCGTTACTAAATATTTATAGTCAGACAAAATAAAGCTACAGACATGTGATTAATGGGATAAGAAGGGCACACACATATACGCTCATATAAAAACAGTCAAGACTGGTAAGCGAATGATTGACAAGGTCAAAATATGACTCAAGTAGAATGAATAGAATGGGATGTCCGTAAGCTAGAATAAGGTATATAGGCTTAACATAATAATTGACACTACAAATGCATACCTCCTGAAGACATTCGTCAAAAATGATTTCAGTACATAAAAGACACTGCAAATGTACCAAAGAACAGGTGAAGTTTTTGTGTAAATTGTGTTATTTAGCCAGTATATGCTGATAATACGACATGGTTACTACCTTGATATTCAATTTACTATCACCTTAAAGGATAATAACCAGTAACTTATTCAGGTTATTTATGTATCCGAATAATGTCCGATAAAATGTCACCAGAGTCACAATATTCTACAATTATTTAAAGGCTACGATAGATTTATTTATATTCCATTAACTATTTTCAACCACAGAAATACAGGGTAACTATTTTATTTCGGTCTTAAATTCTTTGCTTATAAAAAATTAATATCTGTAAATTTAATCGATGTGTTCCATTTCATTTTGGCTCTGTGCACTAAATTGATATCACTTTCATACAGAAACCTAAAGGTCATAAATATAAACGTTTTATTCGTACTCCTAGGAGTTTTAAAAAAAATATTTTTCCAGGTTACCTTTATGTTAAACCACATCAACAAAGATCATTAAATTAAATTGATAGATTTATATACACATGAGACATATTTTTTTTAGCAATTTTCACTTTTTTTAAAATAGTGCACCATGTTTATGGATTGGTCAAAAACCAATTTATTTAAATGGTGATTATGAATATGCAGCTCAGTCAAAATGTCGTAATTGGCAGTCAACTTATCCAGGTGAAAATGGTTTAGCTGTGTCTTTACCAATTGTTGACAATGCACCAGGTTTATTTTCTAAACAAAATTTTAAATTAATATCATGTTCGAAATTTTGTCGAATGTTATGCATACAAATCACACCATCCAATACGTAATCAATTATAATTATTATGATAATCAATATTCGATTTATGTATCCGTATACACTTATTCCTGTTCTACATCCAGAGACTTTTTATCGAATAATATACATATATATTGCTACTAAGTGAATTAAACGTTTGTCAATTTAATGAGATTTTTCAAAATATTCAACAGCTTAAAACAAGTACATAGTTTGTTATTCTCCTGAATTTGTTCACTATTCAATAAGAAACGATACTACTCTTTTTTCAGTACATACTAATATAACTTACTGATTCCTTCATCGTAATTGAACATTTTCCAGTTTGTCGATTTTAATTTCAATGTTGAAATTCAACAGTCAAGCATTTATATCCTCTCATTTATTGAAGAAAAAAAAGAAAGAATAAGAAACCGATTGTTTTTTGTCAACATTTATTTGTCTATCTATTTATCTATCGTTTTTGACACTTAAATCCAACGTTAAAATATACCTACGACAAAAAAGAACAGTTTTGAGTTTCATTTGAGTTTTTCACCGACGCACCAATACATACACACAGATACACATGAAGCACAATTTATGATTTTAATGATTTCAATATTTCTATTATTATTATTATTATTATTATTATTATTGTTATTATTATTACTCCATATGTTTGTCTTTTGTTCAAAATTTTGTGGTATAATCTTTTCCTCATCTGCATGAATCACTATTTCTATGCAACCAATTGGAACAACTGAGGAATTAATAATTAGCTTTTGTGCAATTAATTTCGTGTGAAAGTGAAACAGAATTATCTGGTCAATTTACATTGGTTTTGTTACTTACTTATATTAATTGTGTGCAAATTTTATGTTGGAACAGTTAAATATGTAATGCACTAGAATAATGGAAATATAGACATATATTTTATACGTGATATAAATTTGTAATTTATTTTACGCTAAAAAAAAATAATACTAAATTCATTATACCATAGGCATTATATAATTTGGGTTTACATGGGATTCTGTATAAATTATTATGAATTATACCTACTAATTATTAAATAAGTAGCAAACAAAACCAATGACATTGATTACTAAATCTTAGCAGTCTAATCAACATATTATTAGCTTAAAACAAACAATATTAAATGTTTTAATGAGACTAATTTCTACTCCAAATCGGAGATGAAACTTAAAGTAGTTTGACACGGTGATTCTGATGTGTAATATATACCAACAGTTGATCTTATATTAATTGATATCGCATTATGTAATCCTCAATGTTGAATAAATTCAGTTGGCCAGGTTCTAAAGTGATCACCAGTTTAAATGAAAGCGTCTTTAACTGTGGTTCCTAATATTAAATGTAAGAATCCTATCTTCATTTAGTTATGAGCTAAAATGATAGAAGTCTGTTGTTGAGGTTCAGATATATTGGTTATTAGGTTGGCTGTCAAGATATTCAACTTCGAGGTGGCTTTTTGTCACATACTTGTATTAGTTGAAGATTCGTTAAAAACTTGATGGCAGCTGAACAATTTTTTCTTCATAGTATGAAAGCCTTCAGATGTACATACTCAAAACCTTCACGGGTGTGAATCCAGAACTTTCAGTTCTCATGTCGAGAATCGAAGTGAAATCCAATAGTCTAGATTTTAAGGTTCACTTAGTGAGTATTTTATTCCAAGTATCACTCAATATTATCATTAGTAATATCTATCTCACTTCCAGTATCATTTAACTTCAACTATCGTAACTTTTTACTATAACTTTGAGAATTTATCTCTATATTAATCACTAACGATCACACTACATGTATGTGAATATAGTTTCTGCTCAGCTTTCACCACTGATTGAGGTTATCTGGGAAACCAATGAAAATCACTTGTCACCAGGCCTATGTTCTACAGATACCTCATCCATGATCGAATCTAGTAGCTTTAAGTCTTGAAGAGTAGATTATCGCACAACTTGTGAATTAAAATATAATAACAAGAATAATTCAGTTTTAATTAAATTAAGACATACGGCGAGACTAATTTATGGACGACCTTTAAACGAATATTAAGCGACCTTGAGAAGTATTAGCCAATCACCAAACAGTCAGTATGGAGTAAAAATATGTTATACAAAACCAAGGAAATAAAGTGGATACACTTCTTATACGTGGTTCGAAAATTGTCAAGGTTAGAAAGAGGTTCAGAAGTTCTAAAATCGTAATGCATGCAGTGGAGGAAATCTACCATATGGCTACAGAATAGTCGGCCTCTGGAGCCATGATAAATTCTTAAAAAACTCATTCAGCCTCGACCACATAGTTTCAATATTGTTTATGTGCACTTCGGTTGTTGAGTGCACAAAATGCTACTTGTGGATAACGACACGATGCACATAGCCAAGCCTATGTAGTAGTCTGTAGGCTCTCCAAACATCCGTATATATTGTAGTACATGGCTGCAGCCAGTGTTACTGGTACTTTTATTATCCAGTTCGCGATAATTGTCATAGTTGCCTTAGTTAGGAATTATACATGGGGTTTTCATCACGAACTGACATCAGCTATAATGCTAGAAATTTATTTAGCCAAATGGATGAAGGGCTTTCGCGTTGAAATCCGAGATCTATTATCATATACCTGATTGATTCGTCCACAAATTATAGTCTCGCCGTTTTATTTTTTATAACCGCTCAATTATCACGTTTTGTACAAAATTCCCTGTGAACCGAATGTACGTTAACACTAAGCACTGAAGTTGGCGCCGTAACCTTGAAATCTCTAAGACGTCTCTGATTGGCTCATCTATAAATTAGAGTCTCGCCAGACATACAGCAACTATCTAATTTAATCTATGTATCTTCATCACCTTTAAATTTTATTGATCTCACCAGTTCTCTTTAGGTGTCGGTTAAATTCATCTTCAGACAAATAATTAATAACCAATGTTTTGTAATCACTTTTACGTAATCAGGTGATTTGTGATTAATTTGATCTATTAAAGCTTTCGTCAGTTAGTTATACAGTTACGATAAACATTTTTAGAAATCTATTCCAGTATCATAGATAATTATATTTCTTGTCTTTTTAATGAATTCACACAATAAATTCTTTTATTGTCACTCGAAATTATCTGGTTGCGGGCCAGCAAAGTGATTGATTAACCATTAAAGTCATGAGCACTTAGACTGCCGGGTTACAGGATTCATCTATTTAACATTTGACAATAAATTTATGTCGTCATCTTTCAACCAAAAGGTGTAGTTCAGAAATGTCAAGTATACTAATCTATACGTGTGCCAATTATTTTAAATGATGTATTGGCAATCTAGCAATTACACTCCCTAATCTAACTTCGACGCATCGGAATTAGTGATGAGACATGGTTTAGTAACTGATATAATGAATAGTTCGATATAATACACACAGGTATTGAAGAATGATTGAAGCCTTATCGATGATGAAATTTGACAGTATAATTGGTAGGACATTAATTGAAGAGAGTTTATTCGAATTCCATCTTGATTTCGGATTTCACCCCACGTTTTAATACATGGTTATATATATGCGGTCATCTAATAACGATGCTTATTAAGAGACCTTAGTGAAACTCGTTTACCATGAACATCTATATACTTGCTAACCATGATCTGTCCATAGTTTTAAGTATAAAGGAGTATAATATTTTGGAATACTGTTAACAGTAGAATTTATGACACACATTTTTTTGACGGAGTTTCGTTCCAGCTCAGAGAACAAAACCCCATCAAAATCATCCACCTGAGCTACAAATCTTCTCCAAGCATTTCTTTCCGACTAGAACTCGTCAGATGGATGTTACGGTATCCTAGTATTAATGTTTACAGTGGAACTTTAACATAGTGCTTTCCAACTATACTAAAACTTTTAAATGAAGTCTATATCAAGGTAATCAGTTCAGGAACTGTACATGGTAGCAGAGAGTGGTTAATTCCATTCCTGTATAATATTAATAACAACAATAGGAAATTACAAACACTCACTAATATTGAAATAAAGTCTCGAATTATGTCTTAAGTAAACTATGTTGTACACACATATATATCCAATTTTACACTGATAGACTAATTACTAATTAAGCATTTGACTGAGTGGAATAGTTATAATCCAAAATGATCCAAATAGATCTATTTTCATGTACACAGAAAGAAAAAAAACAGGTAAATCTAATTAACATGTTTTTGAGAATTTAAATGTATGTACAAAAGATATACATAACAAAGCTATTACATTCATAGTTCAATATCTCTGTCGATGTATTTTAGGGATTAAGTCAAAATGATCATATTCTATGTGTCCACAAAATAAGAGCAACTATCAATGATAATAATAATAATAATAATAATAATAATAATAATAATAGTGTTCGCTTCAGAACAAATTATATTTTGAACAAAAAACATTCAGAAATGTTGTAATCTAATATGATTGTGTTCATAAGTATACTTGATTGGTATTTTTCAAAAAGGGAATGTTTCACAAAAATAACTAGAACACTTTCAAATAGATGGGTGTGTTTTATTTTTCTAATTATTTTCTTCACAACTATACACATGTAATCTCTATTTCTTTTTTCTTCTTTTTCTTGGTTGGCAAAGAAAACAACTCAACATTAGATCTCTTCAAAAATTTCATTTGTCCATGTGTTCTTTTTATGTAATGATCTTTTGAATGTTTTCATATTCATAAAATTATTAAAATGTTGATTATTATGCATAGATGATGATGTCATAGACGATGATGTCATTGACGATGATGTGGTTGAAGTTGATGATGATATAGATTCTGTAAATTGATTATTAATTAATTCATTTAAATTACGCGTAAATCGATAAACATAACGTTTTCCAGAAACTTTTTCAATAATTTTTTTATCATAATAATATCGTAAACCACGACTTAATTTTTCATAATTCATTTTTGGTTTATTTTTTCTAGCACCCCATCGTTGTGCTACTTGATTTGGTTCTTTTAATTTGAATTCATTTTCATAACCAGTCCATGAAATAAATGCATTTGCTTCAGGATCTTGTAATTCTTCTAATAAAAATTGCCATAATTGTATATGTCCATGATGATTGGTTGTTGGTGTTATTGGACAATAGAATGATGTATTGTATGGTTTGTCCATAGATTCAATATCATTGAAAATTAATTGAGATTTTTGATGATAATGATTAGACTGATGAGCACATTGGCTAACTTTATTATGAATGAGAATAATATCACTATCACAATGATTTGTACTGACAATGTCAACAGAAGAATGGGAAGATTTGGTCAAGTTATTCGTAGGTAATTCTGGACATACTTGTGTTGTATCATTAATAGAAGAATTTGTTGGTAACTGGTCTAAGTTATATTTACCTACAAAAAATGTTCAGACAAAATAGTTACTTATATGAACGATTTGTCAAAAGTTGATTGGGCCCTGAATATCAGGCAAACATCACATGAAAATTTTAACTAAAGTAGTCTCAGAGATTGAAATTTAAGTATCCCAACGCTTCGCCCGGGAAAGTTTTGATCATCCCCTTGAGGAAACAC